TAATGTTACAAAAGATGTCTGTTGCGAATAAATACTTTCTATTAATCAAACGTTGAAAAAGTTTCTAATACAATTAAACTGCTTAATATTTTTTTTTTATAATTTATAAGAAATATTTCTTGAGCAGCATATTAGAATACTTCTGAAGGATCATGTGACACTGAAGACTGTATTGAAGAGTAATAATGCTGAAATTACAGATTTGCCATCATAGGATTAATTTACATTTTAAAATATATTTTAATACAACAGTTATTATAAATTGTAATAATACTTCATGATATTACTGCCTTTACTGTATTTTCGATAGAAAAAAAGCACTCTTGGTCTATTAAAGCTTGTTTCCGCCACTAAAAAATAAAAAAGGTATTTGTGATTTTTTTTTTCATTTTTTTTTTTTCAGAATTGCATGATATAAACTTGCAATTGCGTGTTATAAAGTCAGAATTGTGAGATATAAACTCGCAATTGTAAGACAATTTCAGAATTATGATTCCCTCAGAATTGGACTCATAACATGCAATTGCGAGTTTATATCTCACAATTCAGAGAAAGGAAATCTTACACTTTTTAAAATTATTATTCTGTTGTGGAAACAAGCTTTCATATTGGTGAGCATACGAGACTTTCAAAAACATTCAAAAAAATCATATGACCCCAAAGTCTTGATAGGTGTTGTTTATGCTAGGTGTGATTTATATGGATCCAATACCATGCAGTTTATGCAGCGGAATTGCGAAACGGTTAAACAGGGAGTTTTCTGTATTTGAAGTGTTACTAAATGTAGCGTTACTAAAAATACTGCTGCAAATTGATTGGTGCATCCATAATCTTTATACATATATACAATAGTAGTCAAAAGTTTGGACGTGTGAAATTGGTTTTGTAGACAAAATATACATTAACCTATATGAATTTAGTTTTTCTTTTATAGTTTTTTTATGGATTTTTTTTAACACTACATAATTCCCATATTTAAATTTATTTAATAGGTTTGATGACTGTACTATTATAATAAAATGTGGAAAATGATGATAATAAATAATGAGTTTCCAAACTTTTGACTAACACCAGTCAAAAGTTTGTGTAATATGCATTTTCCAGCATTGACAAATAGGAATTGCTGGTTTAGTGTCATTTGATGATGAGAATGGGAGTTTGTAATGCCTAAAGCATGAGTTTTGATGTTTGATAAGAAGTTCCCACAGTCGATCTTATGAAATGGAGGCACAGCCCGGGCCGAGCCACGAGGATCTCGCCTCACACTGTCACCGGAGTGAGCCAGGATTTGGCTTAACTTTCATTGGTTACCAGGTATTTTGTCTTACACTATATACATGCAACAATTATTGATTAGATTAATAAACGAGGTCAGACATCACCTTTGTTTTGCTATCTGTATTTGCAGAACTCGTCCAGCAGTGGAAATGTTCATACTGGTGAGTCTGTCACTCACATGACCATCCAATCAATTCTCCCTATGGACAAAAGTCCCGCCTTCCATTTTTTTTTTCTAGTTCGAGAAGCTGTTTCACTCTCACAATAGGGAAGAAAAGACTATGGCAATATCTGTTTCATGCCGACTTTAAATGATTGGATACAAATCAATCATTTGAACCTTTATTATAGTAATGTACCAACAGACAGGGTTCCCTGTATCGTTTGCAGAGTTAGTTCAGAATAATTTGAGAAAAATTTACGTACTGTACCTGATATACATATCCAAATGAATCAATATCAAAGCCAATCAAGATCAGAATTGAATCCAATCACAATTGTGTCAATACCCAGGTGTAATACTGACCACGCTGTGTTGACTTGTAGGCGCTGTTCCGCCGTGGCTATTGGAGGAGCCAGATGAAGGCCCGCAGGAAATGGGCCCCTCAATGCAGGAGTTTCTCAAACACAGTATGTACTTCACTTCCTTGGTGATGCTTGTTGGTTTTGGCTGGGTTTATATCAAAGAGAAGATCTCTTTGCAAAACATTTTCTTTCTTTCTTTCACCAATGTAATACATAAAGGGATGGTTTACCCAAAATGAAAATTAGCCCATGATTTACTCACCCTCAAGTCATTCTTGGTGTATATGACATTCTTCTTTCAGACGAATACAATCAGAGTTATATAAAAAATGTCCTGGCTCTTCCAAGCTTTATAATGGCTTATATAACTGCCTTTATAATTTTTCTTACACAAACGCATCGCATCGCTTCAGAAGGCCTTTATTAACCCCCCGGAGCACTTTAATCATGGATGCACACACTTATGAAACAGCCATTCACTGCCATTATAAAGCTTGGAAGAGCCAGGACATTTTTAATATAACTCTGATTGTATTCGTCTGAAAGAAGAATGTCGTATACACCTAGGATGACTTGAGGGTGAGTAAATCATGGGCTTGTTTTTCGTTTTTGGGTGAACTATCCCTTTAAAGGAGGAGCTCACCCAAAAATGGAAATGGTCTTAATTTACTCACCCTCATGTCGTTCCAAACCTGTATGCATTTCTTTGAATGTGTGTTTTTTTTTTTTAAATCTAATTACATGATGTACATGAATCTAATTAATTGCATCAAATTTGGCTGAGAAATTACCACCAAAAGATAGTCATTATTGTTAAATGAGAAAAGCATTACAAAAAGCAGCTTAAGAAATACGTTGTTTGATTCAACATAGAATACATAAACGTTTAGGCTACAAGGGCCATGATTTTTTTTCAAAGCTGCATCTGAATTAGTATTTAGATATATTTACAGACCAAACCAGTTTGGTCTCATACAGGGGCATTTTAACTGCATTCTGCAAGTTACATCACAGTGAGTTGTTGGCCTGCTTCATGTCCATCACCAATCAACTGTATGAAATGTAATTTTAATTGCATTATTTTTCATAACTAATTAATGCTTTACATCGACAGCCCTATTAAAAAACATTCTTCCACAGTCATAGTCTTCCTTCTATGGTTATATCCTTATTTATTGCATTTTTTTTGTTTCTTACACTATATATTTAGCAGTCTAAGAAGTTAACCAGGTTTACATTCAAATGCAAGTTGTATTCTGTATATACTGTTACTGTGTATGTTATGAATAAGGAATCTTATATGTTGAATCACAGAGGAGCAAGAGAAGCTCAAGAAGCTTCCGCCCAACCGTGTGGGTGCAAACTTTGACCACAGCTCACACACTGACGCCAACTGGCTGCCATCTTTTGGACGCGTGTGGAATAGTGGCAGGCGCTGGCAGTCTAGGTGAGCGCTAACTTCAGCACAAATATCAGGCTCGTTTCATTCTTCTCGTCGTTCTTACTGACACTTTCCCCCCCTCAGGAATCAGTTCAGGGAAGAAGAGGCAAAAACTAGGGGGAAGAGGAAGTGGAAAGATGATGGGAAAGCAACAAAGAAGCAAAAAGGCCTCAGTAATGGAGAGTTATGAAATGGATACACCCACCAATAACACTGGGAGCAGGAGGACAGTATGTGAAATATATTGCTTTTCTCATATTGAGAATAACTGCAAAGGCTGGACACCAATTATGGTTTGTTTAAGCTTGTGAATATCGTTATGAAGAATTTGTATGAGAAACGAACAGCACCATTTGTGTTTCCAGTTTATTGAATACATTTTTGCTACAGATGTTGTGTAATTTCCTTTTTTGGTCATAAATCCAAAACAAAATATCCTTCCCACTCTCCTCAAAAGGTAAATGTGATAAAATGAAGACACAATGTGCAATATCTTCTTTCCATTTGGAACAATACATCAGTTCAGTCAAATTTAATAGAATCTCATCTATTAGAGCTATTTCATGTTCTCAACGGAAAGCCAAGACCATATTAATGTTCAATAATATAATAAAATACCTCAAACGTCTAGACAGAATAATAAAAATACAGATTACATTAATATTAAAGGATACCTTGCAGTCTTTTATTTTTCTTCTTTTTTTTTAGTAGTTTCTGTTAAAATAATACATGACTGAACGCTTTAGAATGCAAAAGAATAAGAGAGAAAAAAAAAAAAAAAAACGAGTCTCTGTAAGAGATGCAGTGTTGGTCATAATTGTACAATACATTACATTTAAAATGGACCATTAAGGGTCTTCATCAAGTTCCTGCGTTGAAGCTTCTTTCTATTTAACTTCATTCTCAAAACCAAGAAAATCCGAAAGATGGGTCGGGCCGAGCTGCCGGAAATATGTCGCGTCGGCCCGACCCGACGACATTACGAAAGGTCCGGTTTTCCCATGGCCGCGAGCCAGAGAAAACGCTTTCAGTAGCTTCATTAAATAGCATGTGGTTTATTAAGAGAGGAGGAATGAGAGACACCACCACAATCGTCAGCCCATCCTCAGACTCATTTCCAGACTAGCATCGTCAGTCAGCAAACATTGCCCATTCCCCTTTGAGACGTCTCATTTTAGGCTCACGTGATGGCTAGTGTTACAGGACTGCAATCGCCACTCACTGCTGATGGTTTCTACGTCACATATACCACATGCCAGATCGAAACAGAAGTCAGGCATTCGGTTTATGTGAATATCTGTCTGAACTAATCACACTGTCATTATTATTAAGCACATATGCTAGTGAGGCCAAAGATCTGAGGAGCTACCCAAGTAAAAGATCATGTGACCATTCAAGTTGTACTTTGATTGGATGAGTCAATATCAGCCAATGAAACTTCATGAAAAAAATTCATGCAACCTGGGGGTGTTTTGTAGATCCACGCTTACATTTACCCTCAAATCTTGTGGTTTTCTTTTCCATCCAATGTTGTTCATCAGGACAGCATGGTTTTGACAATGATGGAGGGTTGCTGAAGGAACGAATTGTCTTCTGTCCTCAATAAAGATGGTCGAGTGAGAGGTGATGAAACTTCCTTGCATGGCAATCGTTCTCAAAGTACCATGACGTGCGCTTGTCTCTGACGGTGTGCAGAGATTTGGAGCGAGTGATTGGGGTCGTCCTGTTGCGTGAGTGTCTCCAGATCTCCTGTTCATTCTGTCTCGTGCATGAGCATTGTTTCAAGAGGAGCAGGGCTGGAGCAGCCCAGTGTCTCTGTGTCTCCTCCTGTCTCAATAAACAGAAAGAGCTCCACTTCACTAACTTTTATCTGAAAGGAGGATAAAAAAGAAACAAGAGAACTATGAAATGAAAGCTCTTTTAGGGCATTTATAATGACAGCACAACACTGAACCACCGGCAGGAAGGACAAAAGCTGCACTACCTTTGTTTTCCTCTGTGTCAGTAGCTGTTTCCTCTGATAGCCTTTGGCGTAGCTGGTTATACTTGATTTCTGTATCCTGAGAAAAAGAAGAAAAAAAACAGAATTGAGTATTTTTTCAAATTTGTGACCAGAATCAAACGGGCATTTACCCGTTTTATTATTATGGTTTAGTTTTTACTTACTAAAAATCATTTGCCAACATGCAGTGGCCCCAAAAAATGTGTACACTTCAGTCAGACTTGTGTAATGTATGAATCTCCTGGCATTAAATCAGGGGTTTTCAAACCGTCTTCATTTCAAGGACCCCAATATAATGAACCCCTTGCAAGGGCCCCCCAGTCATAAAATATAAAGACAGACATGTATTCTTAGAATACTGACCAAATTATATATTGAAAGAAAAATGGTATATGAAAAGCTAAAAATGAAAATGAAACTTTTGGCTTTTTTTTGGTGGTCATTTAGCTGCCAAAAATATTATCTGGACATTTACAGAAACTACAGCATTTATCTCTCTGCAGAATATTAGTTTTCTTTGCCAATTTTTTGGGGGATATTATTAAAACATTTTCAACTCAAATGTATTTGTTTAGCATGTTCAGTAAATATATTTTTTTAATTTTCCAAACAGCCATAGAACTAGTAAGTGTGCTTAGCTTGCAGCATTGAAAGGAGATTTAAAAATAGAACTGGAATTTTTAAATATTAAGAAAACAAAAGCAAAACACATTTTGTTAAAGTTATCATTTCTTAATTATTACTGCTAAAATGCGTTTCGTAAACCATAGTCTCTCAAATTCTCCAGAGATCCCCTAGAATCTCCCTTGAAAACTCAATTAGATCAAATATACAAAAGTGCCACTTTTTTTTTGCTTACAAACTTTTTTTGAAGATTGGAAAATAAAGTTAGGTTTTTAAATAATAGTAATAATAATAATACATTTAATTTGTAAGCGCTTTTCTAAGTACTCAAAGAAGGCAAGTATGCATAACAATATGAAGTAAAACAATATAAAAGAAAGTAAAAGACAGTATTGCAATGAAGCTTGTTTCTACCACAGAATTAAAAAAAAAGTAATTGTGACTTTTCACAATACATACTCACAATTTATATCTCACTATTCAGAATTTATTTCACTCAATTTCAAGTTTATATCTCGCAATTCAGATTTTTACCCCGATTGTAAGACATATACTGAGGAAAAAAGTCTGAATTGTGACAAGTCTAAAAAGTCGCAATTACCTTTTTTTACACGATGGTGGAAACAAGTTTCCATAGTATTGTGACACTTCCTGGTTGTCAAACAACATGTTTATAGTTAATGTGATCTGTGTAAACTTAAGGAAAACTGACTTCATACATCCACTAAAACCACACAAACACCAGTATATTAAAGGTACACTATGTAACTTTTTGCTATGTAAAATGCACTTTAAAGGGATAGTTCACTTTGAAAGTAATTTTTGATATGTTTTAGCTTACCTCAAGGGCATCCAAGATGTAGGTGACTTTGTTTCCGCAGTAGTTTCAATTTTGATATTTTTAGGTCAAACCGTTCTTGTCTGTCAGTCATATAACGCAGGTCTATGGTCACCACCTCAAAGAGCATGCACAGAGAAGTCCAAATTAAACATGATTTAATGACTCGTAAATGTAAGTACACATTGATGGCCTAAGACACGAAACGAGCGGTTTGTGTGAGAAAACAAACAGTATTTATATCGTTTTTACCTCTTGTAACGCACAGACCGAAGCGCCGGCGCCCTCAGATCACTTGGACGTGGCTGTGGTTACAAGAGGTAAAAACGATATAAATACTGTTCGTTTTCTCACACAAACCGCTCGTTTCGTGTCTTAGGCCATCAATGTGTACTTACATTTACGAGTCATTAAATCATGTTTAATTTGGACTTCTCTGTGCATGCTCTTTGAGGTGGTGACCATAGACCTGCATTATATGACTGACAGACAAGAACGGTTTGACCTAAAAATATCAAAATTGAAACTTCTGCGGAAACAAAGACACCTACATCTTGGATGCCCTTGAGGTAAGCTAAAACATTAAAAAAAATTATTTCAAAGTGAACTATCCCTTTAAATGCCATGCAGGTTTTTTTTTAACCACTAGAGGGCCACAAGTTACAAAGTGTACCCTTTAAAATACAGTATAATTGTCCATGAAAAGTAAACTTACTTTTGAGAAAATATCTAGCAGATGCCACTTGGTTCTGGCATGTTAAATAATATAAATTGATACATTTTAAGTGAGCCAAGTCTCTAAATACTTCTTGGTCATTGTATATTTGTCTATCATTGACCAGTTTTCTTGGTGAGCAACAGGTCACCTTCAGGTGCTGCAGGTTGGCCTGTAGTAGACGTATGTGGGTCATGATCTGTCTGTTGACGTTAGGTCCTCCGCTGCTCTGAGAGGAGGAAGAGAGGAGCTTCTTCAAGTCAATGCCTGAGTCTCCCCCGGCCACTGGCTCCCCGCTGTTGGCCTGCACGTCATCATCTGTGCTGCTCTCACCTGAACCTCCATACACCTCCAGCACCATGTAACTGCCTGCAGAGACTGGCAGAGAATGAGACCAATGGTAACAGGTTATGTCAACAGAAAATGTAAATGTAGTGCAAAAAGTAGGCTGCTTCCAAACATGCATACTTGCCTACTTACAGAGTTAGTGTAAACAGTACAGTATTTTCCAAAGAATAAATCAAGCGTTCAAAACATGCAAAGTGCACACATTTGAAGGTGGTACATTATGTGTGTAGCTGCACATTTCCCACAAGCTGGTAGTTTCACTTTAAATACATTTGTTTAGGCTTGGCGTTTATAATAAATAAACTAAAATACAGTTTAGTATTCACTAAAATACATATTTATAATATTTGTAAACATTTTGTTTTATTTACCAGTATTTTACATTTCTAAATGTAATAATAAAATGTGACACACATACAGTAGATGCAACTTGTCAGTTTTTTTCCCCTCAATATATAATGCAAATGTAATTTTGACCTGGTGCAACTTATTTTCTGTAATATATGGTTTGGGTGAAGAAGAGAGAAGCATGTCCGATTTCACAGTATTCATAAAATAGTAGGCAAAAAGTACCCAGACAACCCACTACTACTGCAGAGGTTCTGAAGTGTGCATACAACAGATCCTTTTCGATCCCATGAAGCCACAGGAGAGAATTTGTAAATGGCAGTGAAGCGGCTGACGCAGGTTGGTCACATGACAATGACAATTTACTCCGCCCGGGTTACATTCATACTACCGTAAACACATTCTAACTATATAGAAATTTTCAATGGTTGCAAAGTAATTACTTATTTGAAACAAGTACTATTTTGAGCACTTGTTTCACTGACCAATTTAACAGTAGTCTTGGTTTTTATACTGACACCTATTGGTGTGGATGAAACATCACATAAACTCACTCCACTATTTATGACCAGTTAATAATTGCCAATTCTATAACTAAGCATGTTTGGTCTTAATTCTTGCGGAAAATCATTTTTCTATAATGACTGTTGAACTTTATTATTGATGGTTGTCCCACACAATCAATGTCCTACATATCTGTGCTAGTTTCATGTCTCTTGATTTACTCTGTAGTCATGTAATAAGCAGGATAATGTGCGGTCAGCTGCGCATTATCCTAAAATAAAGGCCCCTCCTGATGACTTTGAAAAAAAAAAAAACAGGACGAATACACACCACAATCCTCAGACGTCTCAAAGAAGCCTGTGTCTCCGGAGGGCAGTTCCTGTGCGTTCTCCCCTCTGTTCTCGCCCCTCTCTGAGCCGTTCTCAACAGTGGACCCGATCGCAGCGCTGTTCTCCGGCCCCTGCTGAGAACCCGTCCTCGCCACGTGTTCCCGTTTCTCTCCTCTCTCGGGGTCTCTGTCTGTGTCCTCCTGACTGGACATGTGGTTGATCAGGAGCTGCCTCAGTGTCGCCACTAAAGAACACAGAAATGAGATGAGAAATCGACAGATATATTGGGCTGCAACTAACAATTATTTTGAAAATCGATTAATCTATTGATTACTTTCTAATTAGTCAATTAATTCTTTAGTTAACTCTCTCTTCCTGCGACTGATGGATTTTTCCGTCTTTCTGTGTTTTCACTGTTATACAGTGAAAACGCGATTTTCTCAGCTTTTTGCTCAAAATGTTTTTTTTTAAATGAAACTTACCCATATTCATTGGGTTGATTAAAAAAAAAGATTGCATGTTGGCTGAATAATAAGTTGTTTTTGGTTTGTTTGTTTAAAAGCAGAGGGTCTGTTCTTTCTTTTGAAAGATTGCATTTTCAGAGATTTATAAATCAAAATATTATGGGGGCCATGAAACTTTTGTAAAAATGATAAAAAATGCTGGCGCTGACTGGCAACTTTTTTTCAAAAACACTAAAAATTAAAAAATTTAAAATTAAATTACACATCTTCTGAAAGAGTACTGAATCGAAGAAGCAGAAACAAGCCATAGCATTTGTAAGCAGATTCACATGTAAAATAATGCAATCATTAACATTAAACAGCATATAAATATAAATAAATCAAAACCGAATGAAATGTCGACCCAGGACGAGCTATAGGACTGTGAGTGTTGATGGACTCGATCTACTCCATCTATGTTTTGATCAATGTTCTGAATCCGATCTAGACATAGTCTTTGACAAAAACGCGATTTTCTCAGCTTTTTGCTCAAAATGTTTATTTTTTATGAAACTTACCCATATTCAAGTGTGGATTAAAAAAAAAGATTGGATGTAGGCTGAATAATATGTTTTTTTTGGTTTGTTTGTTTAAAAGCAGAGGGTCTGTTCTGTCTTTTGAAAGATTGTATTTTCAGAGATTTATAAATCAAAATATTATGGGGGCCATGAAACTTTTGTAAAAATGATCAAAAATGCTGGCACTGACTGGCAACTTTTTTTCAAAAACACTGGCAGAGAAAGAGTTAACTTACCAAGCGATAGAAGCATATAAAATAACATCAAACATTAAAGAGCATTAAAACCAAATTTGACAAACGTTACCGAATAAAATGTCTACCCAGGAAGTAGTTAGGACGGTGAAGCTTTGGAGGTGTTGATGGACTCAATCTATGTTTTGATCATAGGTCTGAACCCGATCCGGACGTAATCTTTGACAAAAATGACATTTTCTAAGCGTTTTGTTTAAAACATTGTTTTTCAACTAAATTTACCCACATTCAAGTGTTGATAAAAAAAAGTTTTGGGTTTTTTTTAAGCAGAGGAAAAGAGTTAACCAACAACGACGACTTTAAATGCCTCGCATCTCGCACCCAACTCCGAAGGTTCTTCGGATGAACCCAAATCATTTCTCTATCTCTGTGAGTAAGCTAAACCCATCATAATCATCTAGTTTAGTGTGGCTCTCACATTATAAGACATGGCAGACAACTAGTTCCTTTCATTCCGCATGGGTGTGTCGAATCAATCTGTTTTCCTTATCAATGTCAACAATTACATTGACAGCGCTACAGATTTGGGTTACAGTTAATCCCAGAAGTTGCCTTGCTGAATTTAAGTTGTCCCTATCCGAATTAAGTTTTCAGTTACGTGAGAGGGATAGCTCGTAGTAGTCGAGTCTTCTACTCACGTGTCCTGAGAGCTTCATCAGCTCTGAGTGGCTGGAGCTCAAAGGCCTCGGCCTCGTCCTCATCTATGGCGATGCCCAGTCTCGAGCGCTGCTTCAGTAATGTCAGTCGATCGGTCATATCAGCCACCACAAACTCTTCATCATCTTCAGCCTGATCCGGTACTGAGTTTTCTTCCTCTTCATCCTCCTCATCAGATTTGGTCTCAAACGGGTTGGTACTAGATGGCGGGGTTGAAATGACCTCAGTGGACATGACCTCAGTAGACATGACCTCAGTGTCATCTTTTTCTAAGGAAAATATACAACAAAATTGAAGAACACAATTCTGAAACATATTTACGAGGCTCCTAGCCAAATAAACTAGATATTCATGAGTAGGGGGGTTTCACACTGGCAGTTTATTCGAAAAGTAGCAAGGTTCGCATGAAAAATTGGTAACCTGAAAGCTATAATGTGGACCCGGGAGTGCACCACGGTACCGAACCCCAGACTACCTGTAGGACGTGTTCAGATTTCGGTTGCAATGGAACTGTGGCACGATTCGTGTGAATATGAAAGTACCTCAAACTTGGTTCTGCACTACAAAATGCAAATGCGTTTTAGCTGATGCATCAATAATACAACAAAACACGTGAGTGATGACAGCGGTGATGATTTACCTTGAATATGAGTGAGAGTGAGAGTGCAGTGTAAATCGCGCATCAGAGCGGCAAATGAATGGCTACCAATCTGTGGTCTCCTCAAAAGAGTCCATTTGCAAGCCTTCATGTAGACTACAGCTGCACGATTAATCGTTAAAAGATCGCAATCTCAATTCAAACATCTCCAAACACGATCATATTCCTAAATGACAACGATTCGGCCATGTCTATTAAACCGTTGACAAAATCATACCGGAAGATTAACGTTCGGACATAAACACTGATGCCTACGGAAGCAATCAAAATAGAGCAAATCACCTTTTGAAAGTAACTTGGCGCTTCAAATAGTGATTACATAATTACGCATCTAGGTGGCAAGTCAACAAGTGACTGTTAAAAAATGTATTTGTCATTGAATCATTCACTCAAAAGATTTGTTCAGAAATGCTGATTCATCCAGTAAATGAAACAAATGAAGTATTTATGAGTGAGTCATTGAATCATTCTTTCAAACCGATATTTTTTTACAAATAATTTAAATAGACTGCAGAAATTAATATTTAGAGAAAATTACATGTTATTTTGTTTAGTTGTCCGTTTAAAATCCTGGGAGAATCTATTTGAATTGATCCAAAATCGTACAGCTCTACTGTAGACAAGTTTCGTTCACTCTGCTGGACATAATGGCACCAAATTAATAAAAAAAAAAAACAATATATTGACCTGCGTTCAGCTTTCCATCATACGCCATGCACGTTTGTGATGGTGCGTGATGAACGCAAACGCACTGAGGTTCAAAAGAATCAAGTGAGTGTGAAACCAGTCCAACACCCCCTACCAATGGGAACAATCGCACTCACATTCAGACTGCAGTAAATGTGCCCAGTGTGAAAGACCCCTTATATATCTACAAATGGATACTGGATGTGCTGCCAATTGCCATATTTTAGCAGTCAAACAACTGCATTATGTTCATATTTGAATGAACTACCACTTTATTGCTCATCTTCTACTGTAGTATCCATTTCATATTTACTTGCATTACACATCTTAAAAATCTGTCACTAGTTGCTGTACAACAGTGAGATGCTCTCTTCCTGTTTAAGTGAGCAATGCAGACCAGACTTTATGCTGATACTTTAATGAATTACTGAAGCAAATGAATGCCTGACAGTTAAATGCACTGCACATCATCCTGAGTTGAATTAAATGAAATAACGAACAAAAAAATGTTTACCTGGAGACTGAATGCTACCTAAAGAAATGGGCTCAGCGTCTTTGTTTAGTTTCTGAACACCAGAGTTGATCAACTCGACCTCTTCACGCTCCCCACTGCAAAACATGTCATGTTATCACATCAACTTACTGCCTGTAAAACTATATAAATGATGTAGAAACCTTAAACTCACTCAGTCTGAGGTAATGGAATGATGTTGTGTAGTTTGGTCTTCATGCAGTCTGCTCTTTGTGTGATCAAACACTGCCACCTAGTGTTTGGAAGATCAAACCATCAAAACAGGTAGGGGTTATGAGCTGCATTTTTAAAATGTTATGATCTCTGAGGTCCACTTATATTGTTATCAAGATTTTTACATCCTAATCTACAATCAATAAGCTATTTTCTTGGCACTTCAAAATGTTTAGTAATCCTCAGAGGCATCTCTATCGTTTTGTTGCTGGAGTAGTCCTGTGTTTGCGTCGGTCTCGTATTTACTACTACATGACATGTGTAAATTGGTGGGCGGGGCTAAATAGACAATGATGTAGAAGTAGGCAGTGATCTTCTTCTGCAAAGGTGTTCTTTCGTCACACTATGAGGTGTAGCAATGTGAAAAAAATCCGAAACAAGTCTTTTTTACTGAGCTTGGTTTCAATAAAAGCTGTTTTTGGAATAATGAGGAAGTTTTGAGTTCTGAAACTTACAGGATATTTTTATAGTACATTTTTACAATTTACCTCTTGTAATTTCTGACCCATTTAATGTTAACTAAAATGTTTTCAAATTTTCGGTAACAAATAAGGCTGAGCAAAAAAAATTTAGATGGAAAACCTTAAATTATAGATGTTGTCTTGGCAACTAATGGAAATAAATTCATTTACTAAAATTAAAGCTAAATAGAAATATTTAAAAAACTAGAAAAAACAAAAGCACATAACAAAATTTCCTAAACTAAAATGAAAATTGAATATATAAAAATAAAAGCTATTTCAAAATATTAATAAACACTATATGTAATTGTGAATTGCAAATAACACAAACATTCGTCCACTGTTTTAGAGGCTAAACATACTGAGGTGAATTTTGTTCACTTAAACTGAATAACAGATATTTAATGGACACTCTGAAAGGGCAGACAAAAAGGAATTCTAGGTAAAAAGATCAGTACTCACGTCTTCTGCTCAGATACAGTCTGGGCCATCAGCTCATAGATCTGGGCTCCATTATCAGACATCGACAGTACAAAGAATGACCTGTTGTCTGTAATACATTCAGACAATAAAGTTATTTCAACCTACCCTTAAATCTGCTTTTATTTTAATCTAGAAGCCATTAAACACCTTTTATAGTTCAGTTGATTATGGAAGACATGATTTTTGAGGTATTGTTCAAAAGTATGATCTGATACATGTCCATATACAATGTGTCTGATCTGTTTTGAAAAGTAGAGCTCCTTACCGGTGGCGACCGAGCGCACCATGACAGTGCTGAGTTTGATGATGGGGCTGAAGATGTGTTTGGTCTCAGCGGTGCCTGCCAGATTCTTACTGTGGCATTTTAAGATCAGCTTCTCATCTTGCCTCTGAAGTAGCACCAATATATCTTCCAGCAGCAATGTGTACAGCTCTGCACACACACATACCATATGTAATCATTTCACAATAATATTACATTTAAGTGCCCCCATTATGATTTTTCGGACACTATTTAGATAGCGTAGTGTGTTAGATAGCTGTTTGTGTATGTAACAGGGTTCGTACAGATTCAGTAAAATGAAATTCCAGGACTTTCAAGGACTACAATCAGCACTTATCAAACGATATCGTTATTATTTTTATTTGTTTTTTTTTTTTACTCAAATTACATGTTATCTGATGTTTCACTTCATAGAGATCAATCCACTGACCAGCGCTGTCAGGCATGGGAAATTCCCCTCCTGATAGGATACTATGACAAAGATATTGCCTTCCTTATTCAAACTGATTTTTTTCCATGAATATATGATTGACCTGAAGAATGAAAGTTGTATTATATACTTATCATTAACTTAATATCATGCTCATAGCCATGCAAAATAGCTGTATATCTCAGACGGGCTGCTGTGTTTATTTTGCGTGAAAAGATTATTTTTTCCAAAAAAAATATATATATATATTTTTCAATAATTCAAGCACCTTTCAAGTACTTCTATAAGAATATGTATGTTTTAAAGGGTTTTCCAGGACTTAAATTTCAAAAAATCAAATTCAAGTACTTCAAGCACTTATACGAACCCAAATTTTCAAAGATCAAAGTGCACGATAATAGAGTTATTGTTTCCCAAAAAAAATATTCTGAGCCGCCTGAAACGCATTATCAGTAATTCCAGTCTGCACGAACCTACATAGGTTTGTAACAAATTAGCATAATTCCAGCCTATGGTTTTCATTGACTCGTGCGAACAACGTCTATTAGCTAATTTAGTTCCCCCAAAAAGTGTTCCTATACGTTCCCCGTTCCTGCGGTGCAAACATACCAAGAAAGCGGGGACTTCCACTAATAGTTAAAGGAACTATGAAATGTTCCTCCAGTGCGAAAGCCCCTTTTGAAAAAGCATATTAGGGGAACTTTAAAAATGCCGTATTATACACTTTTGCAGCATTACATTTTTGCCCTGATGTACACTTATAATGTTAGTCAAGCTGTCTTGCACCAAACACAAGTCATAATTTAGGTTTTCAAGACCCTTTTACTCTACAGAATTAACGGCTATTTACGCTACTGCACCTTTAAGAGATCTTTATGTAAATGACCATCTGATAATGGTATAAAATCATATTTTCCATATCGCTCATAGAAAACATTTCTAATATGAGTTTGGTCAAGGGTGAATTCTGTGACAAGCCACACCTACCAATAGTTTTATCTTTGTTGACCTTCCAGGATAGTGGTCCCTCATGCACCATCTTCCTCTTAGTCAAGTCCAGGCTCTAGATAGAGAGTAAAATCATCATTCTGTTGATAGCGAGTGATAATTTGTTATACAGCTTTTTCTAATCTCCTGTTTTTTTGTTGTGTTGATAAAATGGATTTCAATTCGATAAATACGAAGGTCTCACCTTAAACTCCGCTATCATGGGGTTCTCGCTCTGTTTCAGTGAGGACAGGTCCAGTCGTCTCTGGTAGTCCTCCAACCTCTGGAGACAACAGATGATCAGGGATCAGTTCAATATGGTCTGATCTGAGGTCAGGCACCCACTGTGTTATTTACTCACCTGTTTGTTCTCGGCTTCTTTCACCTCCTGATTGACGTGGGTGAGAATCTTTCGACAGCATTCGCCAGCCCGTTTCACTTTACTTCTCTCCTCAGGGTCCTCTGTAATATGTGAGAATTTGACATGTCTTGCAATGTGATTTGCTTTACCCCATCCAAAATTTACATTTCATGACAACTTAGTTTGTAATAATTACTGGCCAACTTCAATTGGCCATTTTATCATTTATGGCTGTTATTTTATGTCATCATTTCCTGAATTGAGCTGTAGCAGAAATGCAGTTAATGTGATAGCACTACATCCTTCTGCTGCTGATGTTACACAGATGCGGGATGTGTGAAACAGGGTTCATGCTAATTCTGGCTCATATGCGAATGCTCTAAACAAAAACAGACCTCGCCACATCTGAGTCTCAGACACAAACACAATATAGCACCATTTATTTTTGCTAATGAAACGGACATGAAATACAATTTTCTATTTCAATAATGTATTAGTAAATGATGAAATTAACATGAACTAAGATTAATAAATGCTGTAGAAGTTCAATCTTAGTCTATAAATAGTTAACTAATGTTAAACTAATGAAACCTTATTGTAAAGAGTTACCATGTATTTTCGCTAATGATAAGAACATTAGTCAGATTTGCAGATATATCTTACCATTTAAGATATTAATATTCATTTAATTTGTATTTTTGCTAATGAAAGAACATAACATGGTAAAGATTATGTGTCAGATTTGCAGATATCTTAATATTTATGATAGTAGTAAGTTTAATATTATGTAGTTTTGCTAGTGAAAAGGACATAACATGGTAAATAATATTTGTTAGATTTGCAGATATTTTAATATTTAACATATTTTTAAAAGAGGCTGCTGTACCTGTGTATTTGGCGATGTTCTCTAGCAGAAGGGGATACTTTGTGAGTCTCTGAGTCTCCACAGGAATAATGTCCTTTAACTGCAGCCTGCGACAATTACGGTTACTCTCCGCCTCCTGCAATACAAACACTTCAACATGAAAATGACATGTACCATCTGGCAACAGCCAGATATGAAACACACACACGACCGACAGCAAGTAGAGTTACAAACAATTATGAAAGTAACCACTGGACTAGTAAGCCATTGACCTGAATGAAGGAGTTGAAGCGCTGGTCTTTCTTCTGTTTGCTCTTGATGAGTTCCAGGGCGAAAGGCTGATTACTGCAGTACGTGCCCGCAGCTCTCTTGATCTTCGCCTCTTCTTCCCCACTGAACTGTGGGTAAAGACACAAGCTAATGTGAAAATTCCTCGTTGGGAAAATCTAATGGTAACTGGTTTAAGATGGTTCCTAGCTGGCCAAAGCTACTCATTCATGGTCGAATTGGTCGTAAGCTTGTTCAAGTTGGTTTAGTTGGTTAGATCAGCCACTTTGAAACAGCAACAAACCAGCTACCATTTAAAAAAAAAAACAGCTTGACTGCCTTAGACTAGTACAGGGGTAGGCAAGTTCGGTCCTAGAGAGCCGCTGTCCTGCAGAGTTTGGCTCCAACACTGAAAAAAACCTCTTCTGCCTATATATAGCCTTAGTAATCCTGAAGATATTGATTAGCTTGTTCAGGTGTGTTTGATTAGGGTTGGAACTAAATTCTGCAGGACAGCGGCTCTCTAGGACCGAACTTGCCTACCCCTGGACTAGTACAACCTGGTTTAGCACTGCACTCTCACTCTCATTGCTCATATTCAAGGTAATCATCACCACAGTTACAGTGCAACCGAACTACAGGTAGTCGGGTCCGCATGACAGCTTTCACATTAACAATTTTTCATGATACTGTGCCCTGTTTCAAACTAACTGCCGCTGTATCTCTTTCTTTCTTACCCAGGAAAGCAGATCGTCTCCTAATAAGTCAATGAGCGCCGTCTCATTCTTCTTCCGAACAGCGGCCATCTGTTCCGTTAGAGACACTGAAGTGAGAAAACAAGGAAGACAGTGTTTAGAAGGCATGCTTTTGCAAGGGTTTTGAAGGATTTAACAGGTCTATGAAGTTGTGAGATTTACTGTGCAGCTGAACGATCTCCTCAAGGTTGCTGAAGATGCTTTTGATGTCTGCAGAAGGCAGGATGGAGTCTCTGATCAGCGGCTGGTAAAACAAATTCTCCAGAACCTTCATCATCCGAACGTGTGCTCTCTCAGTGTAGAACAACTCTGTGAAAGCAACGACGTGGAGGAGAAAAGCGGTCACACGGGATGGTTTGCACTGGTAAATTGCCCCTGAGCATGTAAAAAAGCTTCTCAAACTTAATGTATGCTTATACACTGTTGGGAATAATCAGAATACTTTTTCCTGGGATAATGTAAGGAAATACATTTTCAGTGTCTATTTACACCAAGTGCAAATAGCCCGCCTTGTTGGCAGAGGCTATTTACACTGACTCCGCCCACCTTATCTGATTGAGCCAGACAAAATTACAAAAGAAATGACGATGATAACAGGAGCTGTGGCGGAGAGAGTAAGGCATTACTCTTCCATTGATTTGTTTTGTTTTATAAAAAAATAATAAAATATTAGAAAAGTGGAAATAAAGTGCCTAACAGGGAATAAAACAGTGGGAATAATGTGTTTAATGGGTATAGGAGGGCTTTAGTTATATAGGGACATGGTATAAGGCAGCATACATGTATGATTTTAATAAATATAATCATATATACTGAATAGGTTTTTATTATTGCATACTGTTTTATAACATACTACAATACAATATGAGTCTCTGCCACTATTTGCCCTATCACCATTCATTTTTACTAGAACTAAAAGAAAGAAAATAGTAATGTAACATTAAAATAAAATATGTAAAAAAAATATATACATAATCTTACTTGTGTTACATATACAGTTTTAATTAATAATGGTAGAAACATTAACGTCCAATAACGAATAGTGTTTCAATCAAAAATAAAAAGTAATAGGATGAAATGGCAAGAGATCCATGTCGCATAACAGAAGGTGACTTATGTCTTGAACTGTATAACTGTAATTTATCTGATACTTAATAAAAAACAAAGTGCTCATCATTCGTCCATATCATATAGCTGGATTTAAATGTATGAAAAGTAATTAAAGATCAGACTTTAGGAAGCAACTTCCCCAACACTGCTCATACAGTACACCACACTTGTCGCTCACCGTTGATGACTTCTTGTCTCTTGATTTCCTGATGGGTAAGTGTGGACAGGACGTCTCTGCTCACCAGCGTCTGCCAGTTAGAAGGCTCCAGCTCCACCTCAACACACTGATCATCCTCACTCTGCACTTCTCCAGAGCCCAGCAGATCCATCCTGCTGTACAAACACAGTGACAAAACATGTTCATCAAATGCACGTCTAATCAATCAATGAATGAAACTTTATCAAATTAATCATTTTATTAAAATGTTAACAATAATAGGCTTTCCCCTCCAAATTCTATTTTATTTTTTCCTAAATCCTGTGTTGTCTGATGTAATTTTACTGGATTCTGTGTATTCAATGTCGTATTCAAATAAATGTATACATTTTTATCAATTTAATCAATCTTTTTAAATGTAATCAAATGAAAATATAACAATTCCTTTACAACAAACATTCCTCTTTTTTTGTCAAATAAAGTGCTATTTTTTTACTAAATTAAAACATTTTTGAAGCTGGGCTGGGGCCGAGAGCTTTGGGCATTTTACGTTGATGTTTATTATGCTTATATGCCGCAGTCGGCCACTGTCACTCCTTTCGTTTCTTTATTTTATGATTAAAGTTACGTATAATGTTCGCCTCATTCTTCCCTGAACTTGAACTTTGTTACGGTCACTTAAATTCACATTATTTTATTTCATTCTAATGAAATAGCCGCAAGTGCTGAATTACGACTCAGAAAAAAAAAACACTAGTGGTCTCAGAATTTTTTGTATGTTTTATTAACTTATTATATATGTGAATAGTCAGTTTGTTGCCCATATTGTTCATGTTATTGTTATTAATGGCCAAGAGATGATATCAGCATCGACCACTGAAAAACCCACACTGGTCGACCACAAAAGCAAAGAGCACTCACCTCCGGTCAGGCCTAGGAGTGCCGGTGTCCTGCGTCCTGTAAGGTAAATCACATTCCAATTACCCTACAATAGTAACAATCCCAACATACCGTCGTCAGCATTCCCTTTCTCTCCTGAGGAGACCCAGTCATGAGGCACAAGCTTAATTCTCTGTGTCTGTCCCAATAAGATCATTTACAGAGGAGAGCACCACAGAGCAATGCTTTGTTCAAACGTTACATGTGCATCGTCACAACGGAGACATAACGAACAAAATTAGCTGTGAGGCCTGTAAACAGCCTGATTATAAGACAACGACTGCTCGGCTTTTAACCAAAATCCAAATTCAATGCAAATGTTTTGGATTGATAATTCTGCAAAGCACAGGGATGTATAATTAAGGGTTATATGCACTACTATTCAAAAGTTTGGGGTTGGTAAGATGTTTTGAAAGAAGTCTCTATGTTCAATAAGGCTAAATTTACCTGATCAAAAATCAAAACAGTAATTTCATAAAATAATATTACAATTTTAAATTATTTCTGTTTTAATACATTTTAAAAGGTAACTTATTCCTGTGATGTCAAATCTGGATTTTCAGCATCATTACTCCAGTGTCACGTGATCCTTCGGAAATCATTCAAATATGCTGATTTGCTGCTCAAGAAACATTTCTTGTTATTATCAGTGTTGAAAACAGTTGTGCTGACTAATATTTTTGTGGAAACTGATTTTTTTTTTAGGATTCTTTGATGAATAGAGAGTTCAAAAGAACAGCAAGTCTTTTGTAACATTATTGTCTCTTTACAGACACTTTTGATCAATTTAATGTGTCCTTGCTGAATAAAAGTAATAATTTCTCTTAAAAAATAAATTAATAGATAAAACTGACCCAAGGTTTTGAATGGTAGTGCAGTTCAGGATCAAACCTGTTTCAGTTTTTAAAGTCTGAACAGGAAAAAATATTTAAATGTGGTTTTATCCAATAAAAAAAAAATATTTTGGGAAATCCAGTCAGTATGAAATACCAGATTTTTCCTCTTTTCAGGGTGCAAATTATATTCAGCGTCACACGCTTCACGTTGAGGAGGACACACTTTAACTGAGGAGGACATACAAGATACTGACAGAGCAAATGGAACACAGATGAAATTCGATCATTTTGAATTGTGTTTAGTTTAAAATAACGATTTTATTAAAAGGAGCCTGGATGGTGATCGCATGACTCACTTGTCTGTCTCAGCTTCCTCTTCCTGTAGATGCTCCAGTGTGCAGGGGCTGAAGTCAAAGTGAGTGTTTGAAGAGGAGGAGTCCTGCGAATCTCCTGGGATGGAACCCTCTCCCATTCTGGCCAGTGCAGATAAGGGAAGTCCACCTAATCCAGAGTCAGAGAGACGCACAATGTGTCAGAAAAAGAAATGCTCACGAAATCAGTGCTAAATTGAAGGAGCAGTAACAGTTTATTTCGATGATCCACTTCAGAGATTCTACTAAGTTTGCAACTCCATGCCCTCTGGGGTTCTTCGGACCAAATGGACCCGAAGAATTTAAATAAAAAAATGTGTAAAATCATAGCTTCATCGGAATGGTCCAAAATTTGGTGACTTTGTTGGTACTTGGTATATGAACACCCAAAAAAATTGGGGACAGGATTTGAATAGTCTAAGTGGTTGTAAAAAAAATGGTCACACTCAGGGTCTTCGGGTCCAAATGGACTCGCCATAGGAAATGAATGGGAAATTGTACGCACAAAACAACTCTGTATTGTCACATTTTTGTCAATCAACAAATCAGCCACGATCCAGAAAAAAAGCACACAACAGTGAAGGGGTGAATCTATAAAACATCAAGAGTGCAAAACAGACACATCCACACACACACACACACACACACACACTTTTATACACAAACACACTAATAAATTCAGATTACATAAATATGTTTTGAATTTTTAAAAATCACAGCTTCATCGGAATGTTACGAAACTAGGTGACTTTTATGGTATTAGGTATGTGAACAAACAAAAAATATTGAGGTCATGATCCAAGCATGCTAAGTGGTCGTCACACTTCTGCTCTTTGGTCAAAAATGACCCAGTTTTTTTTATTTGCATACAATCTACAAATCAGCCAGGATGCAGAAAAAAGGACTCAACAGTGAAGGGGTGAATCTCTAAAACATCAAGAGTGCAAAACAGACACACACACATACACACACACACACACACACACACACACACACACACACACACACACACACACACACACACTGTATTATATATTTATAATAATCTGTATTATAAAGTAAAACTGGCACTTCAAATTACCATTTAAACCAAACAAACAAACAAAAAACAAGACAAAAATAGTCTTTGAGAATCTGTTATTATATTTTAAAATCAACAACCTGAAAAAAATTGTCAAAGATGTGCAAAACTCACAAGAATTCTGAACCCTTTCTACAGAGAGCTGTAAATCCACTAGTGGTAAAAATGTGCTATTGCGTGATAAAAATGCTCAGTGTGTCCAGCAGATGGCATCCATCTCATTTCAAAAATTGTTTTCATGAGGCCTAGGCTTGACTCTAAAATGAAATACAGCTTTAAGAAAAAAAAAAGAAAAAAAATACATATTTATAAAAAAATTATATTATATTCAATGGGAAAAAATGGGTCATAATTATTGCATAAATCTTAATTATAAATCATAAAATTCTCTCAAAACACCAAAAAATAAAAGAAAAAAAATTATAAAAAACAAGTAAAAAAATATATATATGATTTTCTTTTAATAAATATGAATCAAACCCTTCCGGACCATTTGGTCCCGAAGACCCTGAGTGTGACCCTGAAATGAAGGACCCCAGAGGGTTAACTAGCAGTCATTAGAGTATTTGTAGACTGTGGGATATCTGCAATAACACTTTATTGTAATGCTCCCACAAAAGACATTCTACTGACTATAAGTATCTTTGCAACTAGATGTCAACGTATTCTACTAACCCAAACCCTAACACCTAACCCTAACAGTCTACTACAGTTGACATGTAGTTGCAAAGTTACTTATAGATAGCAGAATGTCTAAAGTGGACCACTGAAATAAAGTGTAGCCGAAGTTAAGGACAGATGTCTTATAATTTTGTCAAATTATGCAGACAATGAAAGGCTTTTCCTATTGACACACACTGGAAAAATTCTTCTCTATAAATGTGGGCACAATTTGATAACTTAAGAAGAACAGGCCAATTATATTCTGAAAAGGGTTATTCAGCAAATCTGAGCTGTGACCCCGATAACCCAGGAGAGCTCAGAAAAAGAAAACAAATAAAAACATCTAAATACAAACCTGAGGCTGTATTACATAAACATCCTAACTAAGAATCCTATCCTATCGGTTTAGTAATCATAGTTCACTTGGTAACTTTTTCAAATCTTAAATCAGGAATTAGGATAGGATGTTTCTCTAATGATATACTGTTAGCGACCGATGCTGGTGACTCTATGATCTTATTACTGTTAGACTTAACCTCGGCCTTTGATACAGTTGATCATAAAACTCTATTATCCCGACTAGAATACTCTGTGGGCATCCAGGGAACTGTCCTCATCTGGTTTAGATCTTATCTAACAAATAGAAGTTTCTCTGTCAAACTGGGTAATTTTTCTTCCTCACCAGCTCAACTCTCCTGTGGAGTGCCGCAGGGGTCTATTCTCGCACCCATTCTTTTTTCCATATATTTACTTCCTCTGGGCTCCATTTTCAGAAAGCATGGTGTATCATTTCACTGCTATGCAGATGATACACAAATTTATTTCCTTCTGAAACGCCACAAAGATACTGCTCTAAAATATCTTTTTGCATGCCTAGAAGTAGTAAAAATGTGGTTTTCTCAAAATGTCTTATTTTTTATTGAATCCAAGACTGAGGTTATAGTCTTTGGCCCCCATGACAACTATAATAGCAGCAACATTGATCTGGACTATCTTTATCCAAAGTCATCTTGCATTAAGAACCTAGGTGTTCTCTGGGATCAAAACCTCAAATTTGAAAAACAAATCAATGCGGTGATTAGTGCAAGCTTTTTTCAGTTACGTCTTCTCTCTAAAATTAAATCCTCCCTTTCTGAGAAAACACTAGAGATTGCTATCCATGCGCTCATTACATCGCGTTTGGACTATTGCAACTCTCTCTACTTTGGCATACCCAAACAGTCTATTGCTCGTCTCCAATTAGTACAGAATACGGCTGTCACTTTTGTGAAAAAATCCTGATCGATTTTTGAGACATAAATGATCATTGATTCGATTGTAAAATCGATTTTCCATGTCTAAAGACGTTTCCATTTTCAACGCCAAATATAGGCAAATCCACGGACAACTAACAGGCGTTAGGACGAGCGTAAAGAGTGCGCTTATGACACGCACAAGTCAGCAATATTTCTGATGATTTATTGGCATGAAGTTTCGTGCACAATGACAAACAGGAGTGCAAGATTCTCAAAAAACAATAAGCAGAGTGGACTGCCATAACATCAATGAAAAACATTACTGCAGGCTTCGACATGGCTGTGTTTACGATTAGAAATTTACAAATTTCGCCTACGTAGGCGATTGTAGGCCGAATCTGTATCTGTATGCATGAGACTGTCTGAATACTGGCTGAATTCACATTTTTGTTGTAAAAAGAGACACATTATGCAGAAGTATAGTATAGTTTGTATGTGTGTTTGTCAGAGCCTGCAGTTGCTGTGTGACGCGCGTTCGCTGCGGGCGTGTCGTGACGAGCTGGACGCGCTCCGAGAGAAGGCCGTTAAAATCGATTCCCTATTTTCGTTTTCGATACTTGTGTTGGTTGGTCCGATCGATTGTGCAATCGATTTTCGAACGTAAAGTGACAGCCCTAGTACAGAACGCTGCTGCAAAGTTCCTCAAAAGAAAACGCAAATTTGATCATGTTTCACCTATCTTAAAATCTCTGCATTGGCTACCTGTGCATTTTAGAATCGAGTTTAAAATTCTTTTATTTGTTTTTAAATCCGTAAATAACCTGGCACCAAGCTATCTGTCTGAGCTACTCTGCCCACACAACCCCACACGAAACCTGAGGTCTGGTGATCAGAGACTTCTGTCTGTCCCCAGATCACGGTTAAAGAATAGAGGGGACAGAGCCTTTGCTGGCCCTAGGCTGTGGAACAGCCTTCCGGTTTACATCAGAGCTGCTCAATCTTTAACTGTTTTTAAATCCTCTCTTAAAACCTTTTTTTTTTTTCTTTAGCTTTTAATTCATTGTGAGCTTCTGTCATGAATGTGTGGTTTGTCCTTGTTCTTTATCTTGTGTATTGTTCAGCACTTTGGTCAGCCCTGTTTGCTGTTTTTAAATGTGCTATATAAATAAATACAAACTTGAAACTTGAAACTATAATACAGCTTCTGGAGAAAAAGGGGAAATATTGAAGAAAGGAGAGGAAGAGAAATCATTCAGGGCAGTTAATAAAAAGGACGATAACAGTAGAGAGAAAAAGTAGAAGAGAGAAAAATTGACATTAAAGGGATACTCCACCCAAAAATGAAAATTCTGTCATCATTTACTCACCCTCAAGTTGTTGCAAACCTGTATGAGTTTCTTTCTTCTGCTGAACACAAAGGAAGATATTTTGAAGAACGATTGGAACCAAACAGTTGTGGGGCACCATTGACTTCCATAGTATATATTTTTTTCTACTATGGAAGTCAATGGTGCCAAACAACTGTTTGGTTCCAATCGTTCTTCAAAATGTCTTCCTTTGTGTTCAACAGAAGAAAGAAACTCATACAGGTTTGCAACAACTTGAGGGTGAGTAAATGATGACAGAATTATCCTTTTTGGGTGGAGTATCCCTTTAAGGTCCTATTAGTTAATGAATTAACTAACGTAGTAAGAAATAGATTTGTTACAGAATTTATTAATCTTTGGTAACATTAGTAATAAAACATTCAACTGCTCATTGTAGCTGCCTGGGGTCCATTAAATAATATTAACATATGCAACTTTTGATTTGAATGATGTATTAGTACATCATGCTTTAAAAGTATTTTTGTTGTTACTGTAGTTCAAGTTAACTAATGTTAACAAATGGAACCTTATTATAAGTGTTACCAAGAAAATAAATAGTGTTGATTTTCATTGGGCAGATTTTCTCAGCCGATACTCACATTTACATGGTCAGCTTGGTTATTAATTTAGCATATCGTGTAATTAATTTGACTTTCTTTGATTTAAATCTGACAGTGGACCAAAGACACTTGACAGCAATGATTCGAGAAGCGTCTCTCACCAGTTTCAGACTCTCGGCTGATGCCGTCTGTGCCCTGTGCTGCTGGAGCGCTGTAAGGAGGTGACGTGACCAGGGCAGTGGTGCCATCTGAGCCCTCACTGGACTGACTGCCCCGTATGGGAAGAGACGACCCGTCTGTCTGCTCTCCAGTGCCCAACGGCAGCTGAGGCTTTGTCAGACGCTGCCTCGGCTCCAGAGCCTTGCTGACTGCAGGGCGAGAGACAGACAGAGAACAACATCAGTGTCAGTGCTTGACGTTAAGGACAGCTGACAGAATTGTCTTAAGTGGATGTAAAGAGTTGGGACAAAATATATATAATAAGGAGAAATGCATTTAATTCAGTGAAGGATATGCAGTCTTTTTACTTTTAATCACCCCATTTAATTTCTGTAGTATTTCTTACCTGAATACTACTGCTGTTAGCCCTACCTGAAAAACGTATTTATTCTATTTGTATTTTTTTGTACTATTGCTTGTAATTTGTTTATTACTGACTGTTTATTCGTCTTGTGTTTAAACTTTATAATAGTTGTGCTAGGAATTTTTGCTATGCTATCGAAAATGGAACTGAGAATTGCGAAATTTCACAGGTATCTAAAATGTCTGTGTTGTACCAGCAACAAACAAAAACTACACAGCAGTAGAAAAATAATCCAATCCTAAATGGTAAGTGTCTCTTCAAGTCTCTTCAAATAGGTAGTTGCCTTTAAAAAATGGTCACAAATAGGGAAGTTAAATAAACCCACGATCACTTCACAAGGAACTGAATTATACCACACACAAATTTCACCATAACAAAAACTGAAACAAATATTTTTTTCAGGGAAATGATGGTAGATTTTTTCCCTCTTTTTTTTTTTTAAAAGCCTTTTTAAGTTCACTTATAATATTCAAGATGTACACTAATATTGTATTTCTGGAATAACAAAATGAATGGTTAATTTAAAATATATCAACACTCCAATTGTCTGTTAATAAAAAAGTCTAAAAAACAAGCAGTCTTGTCAATTAGAGCAGAAATAACATGGGAATGATCTTAGTCAAAGTGGGGGGCCTGCAAATATCTGTGTTGGACAATGGGGGGCCTTTGAGTCAAAAAGGTTGAGAACCACTGGTGTAACCATTCATTAAATTAACCATCAACTTACTTGATGAAGCATCAATCCTGCTCGGCCGTCTCTGAGGAAAAACGTTAGGAAACCGTGTTTTCTTTGATTTCTCCTCACTTCCATCTTTCTCAGGCTTTATACTTTTCTGATTAAGGAGCAAAGAGACACTGGTTTAGTTTATTTGGTTTCATGGAGTCATTTGGAGATCAAGTGATGATTTTTGCTGAGAGATTGTACCTTTATCTTAGGGAAAAGATTCATTAGCTTGGGCTTGTGCTCCAGCCCTCGAGACTCCTTCACTTTTACACCGAGATGCTTCATATATGACAGTATGACAAACTGCACGGTGCTACTGCGAGAGAGAATAACAGAATGAGAGAAATTTAAAGGGATAGTTCACCCAAAAAAATGAAAATTCTTTCATGTTGTTCCAAATCTGTAAGACTTTCGATCTTCTTCAGAACGCCAATGAAGACATTTTTAAATCAAAGAGATTTCTGTCTCTCCCTTGACAGTCCACGCAACTAAAGCCTAAATTTAATATCTGTTCATCATATCAAGTGAACGTGTCTCATCAGAAAATTTGGACTAAATTGCTCAATTCATTTGGATTCGTTTTACAATCTCTTTATGAACTTTTTAGAGCGGCAAAGTGGTAGTTGCGTAGCTGTCAATGGAGGGACAGAAATCTTAGATTTAATTAAAAATATCTTCTTGCTAATGTTGTTGTTCTAATCAATCCTTTGACTTAAACATTGTAGTTTAAAACTGACTGTGTCATTTCCTGCAGGGGGAGCAAGTGCTCGGTTTAGTCCATGTTGAAATACTTTACAGTGCGCAGAAAATTATTCTGACAGCTAGGACCCCAGCCGAAGAACTTACAAAGCTGTTCTCACAAACACTTACAAGCCAAACAGATGACTTGTACAATGCGTAACTGCAGTCAGTGCCAGAGCAGAAATAGCCCTCACAAGCTCCTGTCAGAGGCTTCATGAGGCTCCAGTCTCTTGTGAGCCATCTGGGCGGACACGCAACGCCTCAGTCCCTGCTGTTGCCACCCATATGTGCTCCTGACCGATCATATGCTGACACTACACACCACTCACAAGATTGCAGCTAAAACTGGTGGGAAGGAAACTACAGGGCTAGTGTGTTTTGTAGCTAGTTTTGCCTTTAAAAGCTTATTAATACCTTTTAATACTTGAAGTTTTCAGTATACGGCTTTATGAAATAATGTAAAACTGTACTGTTTTATTAAGTACTCGTACTTTTAGTGTGACGTTGGATTTAGATTCAGCCTATGAGTCTGGACAGTGCATCTGGGGTTAATTTAGGGTGATGTAATATGTCGTTCATGGAAGAGAGAGGACATGTGAATTCCCCTTACCACTTATCTTCCTCTGTGGCCTGCGACGTCAGTCTGAAACAAAACATAAGTGAAGTGTTTATTGAAGTGTGAGAGAGACAACTCTCAGTTTTACATCTCATTTGAATAGTATCTTGTGTACAAATTCACCCATTTTGGTTTAAATCTAAAGATATAATAACAATTAGTTTAATGTCAATGCTATCATTTTAGTCTAGGTTTAATCTTAGTCAATCTTTGGGTCAAATGGGATCCTGTTGTGTCCAATATAAGTGTAAATAATGACCAACAATGAATATGTCATTCATGAACCCTTCTTAAAATAATCTACCGTTCCAAAAATTTGATCAAAATGACATCACTATTCATTTAGGAAGTGAACTCAGATAAGATAAATAAATGCTTCTTTTTTAACGTTATCTTTATTTTTGTTATATTTATCAGTCAGGAACATGCTTAAAATGTCAACCCAGTTGTGATGATTTTGTAAACCATGCCAAAAACCAGCATAATACTAGAATTAATTTCTGCTAAGTTTACATATTGAATAGGCCAAGCCCATTTTTCTAACATTTTTGGCAGAATATTAGAAGTTAGATTCAGAGTGGTTTAGCAGAGCTGTGTGGATTCATTGATGAATCACATTGTAACACGCTCCAGAGAAATGACTTTGAATATCTGGCGAGAAGTTTAATAATAAATGCTTCCCACAAACAATTGAAAAGTTGATATGTAAAGAAGAATGATTAGATGTTATTTTCCAACAAGACAATGCTCCAGGCCCAAATTGTTTAGCCACCAAGAAGTGGCTTGAGAACAAGTCCATCAGGCTCATGTTTTGGCCTGGTCAAAAAGTCCAGATTTAAACCCTATAGTGAATATTTGGTCTCACATTGAACTTTGAATTTCTCACATTTAATTTTTTTTAACTACTCATGAACTGCTTGAAGCCATTAACAATAAGAGGAACAACAATAGCTCTTTTTCCTGTAAAAAGCTATCTACAAGGTACCCACATGGCTTTTACATTTAAAGAAAAAAAAGGGGAAGTCTATTCCGAGCTTACTTTATATATATATATATATATATATATATATATATATATATATAAATAATGAAGAGGAAGAGCTGTGGCAGAATAAGCAAATTTGTTGTAGGTCATCAGCATAAAATTGGTATCTGAGACTATGACAGCAGATTATATGACCATGGGGTAACATGTAAATATTGAAAAGAAGAGGACCAAGAATAGAGCCCTGTGGGACACCCTAAGTGAGAGTAGTGGAAGATTTAGTCATAGTTATGGTAACAATTAATTGTCTATCAGTGCAAAAGGATATTAAATTATGAAAGAGCAGCACCCAAGATGCCTCCAGCTGAAATATGAGAAATAAATATATTTTTTAAATAGGAGAGATCTTTTTTTTTTCTTTTTTTTAATAGTACTGACTGATAAAGTTATTTGACAGTACAATATACTTTAGGTAGCTTCTTCTGAGCAGTACAAAAACAAAAACTTTTTTAATAACGCTAAGCATCTTAAAGATTCTGCAAGGGCTATGTAAACTTATGAGAAAAGGGGTATGTAAATGATAGTGATCTGTAGTGTGTGTGACCACCAACCTCACAGAGACAATAAATTAAAAAAAGGACAAGTATATTCACATACATATGTCAGAACAGATATGTGCACTTACAGTACATCCTCTATCTTAGAGATGATGTGCTCTGCACAGGATCGTTCTTTTTCTGGAGCCACGCGGTCTCTCATTCTCTCTGTATCCAGGCGGGCTAGTTCCGCTTCAGCCAGCGTCAGACCCATACTGCGCTTTTGCCTGAAACATACAATTAATACATGAGAGAACATACTGGAGGAGAAGGTTTCCACTGACACTTGTGCTGATACATTGCAGTCGTAGAGTGTGTGGATTAGATGAGTGCATTTTACCTGAAGTCTTCTAGGTTCTTCTGAATGTCAGGTAGAAGTGTGTCCTGCAGCTGCTGCACGTACTGTCGGTGGACATCCTCTGAGATGGGCTCCGGCCTCTTCCGTTCTGCATTAATTGAGTGTGCAGTCCGCTCTATATTCACGCAAACGCACAAATAATTCAAATGAGATGGGTGACTTTTAAAAAAAATAAAGAGACACAATATATCAGCATCATTTTGGTAATGCGGCGTATTTTTTGTTAATCTGACGATTTTTTTATTTATCAAAAAAAAACATCCTATACCAGTCAATAAATATCCAATATCGGCCGACAATGATGAAAAAAACAATCAAACAAACAAACAAACTCAACAGATATCAGTTGATAAATAATATGGTGCAGATACATATTGAACATACTGGATTTAATGCCTTCTTTCTATTTTCAGATTTAAATAACTTTCAATATCTAGCACTAACCTATGCAGAAAGATATTGCAGAGATATAAATTCACTTGCAGCTTTATTTTTGTTACATTTTTGTTAAAAGATATGCAATCTAATGGTAACACTTTACAATAAGGTCTCACTTGTTAAAATTAGTTAATGTATTAACTAACAGTGAACAATACATTTGTTACAGTATTTATTAATCTTTGTTAATGTTAGTTAAAAAATCCAGCTGTTCATTGTTTGTTCATGTTAGTTCATAGTGCATCAACTAATGTTAACAAATACAACTTTTGATTTTATTATTAGTAAATGTTGAAATTAACATTAACTAAGATTAATAAATACTGTAGAAGTGCAGTTCATTCAGAGTTTATGTTACTAAAGTTACTAAAAGTTAACTATTGTAATGTGTTACCGTTATAATATTGGTCATTTATAGGTTTTCAGTCATAACAGGAAAATAATCATTGACTTATCAGTATCAAGCAGAACATCAGTTCATCCCTATGAGAGAGGAATTTATTGGTAACATCCTAGATTATAATTACAGATATCAACATAACATCTGAAGTAGCAATTCCCCAATTAGCAATCAGACAAACCCCATGTTTTTTATGATTTATCCAAGTAGGAAATATTACTGGATCAACTTTTTTTGTTGGTCCTAAAACATTTCTATGAAACAATGAGATTTTAAGTTGAAGGTCGGGGTTGGTTTGCACAACATTTTTGCCTATCATTTCATAACTAATATTTCCATGAATGCACAAAAAAGTGATTAAACAATGTATTTAGAGTTTATTAGAGGTTTGAACTAACCCAGGTCAGTGATGATGGATTCAGGTACTGTTACTTTCAAGCTCTGTTTAAAAACAAAATACAGCTTAGTCAGAGATCACATCATCTATGACAAGCTAAAGAATCTGAGCCTGTGGTAAGGTCCCTCACAGCTGTTTTGTCTACGAAGAAGGTATCCATGAGGATTCGTCGTGTCTCTTTGGAGCTGGTCTGTTTGTAAAGTTCAGCATAGAGGTAGCACAGCTGCGAAGTGAGAAGGGAGATGAGAGGTGCTTTAGTGATGTGACTCATCTGATCTGAGACCAAACTATAAGCATGCAAGAGAGATTAATGGAACATGGAAAGTCCTTTATAAACATTCTGTTAGATGCCTGGAAATTCCAGGTTTGTGTGAGAGGGTTTGCGGGTAAGAGGGGTGATCGATCTCACCAGAGGCGCAGGGTCAAACTGAGAGACCACATGATGGATAAAAGCTGCCAGGTGAGCAGGCCGAGATTTCAGGAGGTCTATGCTCTGAAAACAGCTACACTGGCCATTCATCTAGAGACAGAGAGAGAGTTATTTACAGTACAAGACAAGCACAAATTCTTATATTATTAAACTTTATGATTCAATGGCAAACTTAAATGTGGTATTGTGAATGTAACGGTGTAAAAGTTTTTGCTATTTTCCATGAATGAATTAATCAAATCTAGTGAGTCTCCTAATTATAAACTGTCTACATAGTCTGTTATCTTCTAAGGTAACATCTATCCTGAAAGGAAGTCTCATAAACAGCGTTGCCTGAAAAGTGTGTGTGTGTGTGTGTGGGGTGGGGGGGGGATGGGGGGTGCATCAACTTCTAATGGGAGTGAAGTAGAAGTGTGAAATCAAAGACTATAGCCTATATATCCCAAAAATGTTAACTCATATTACTATGAATGGGGCTTCGGTTCTCATAGAAACTGGTAGTGTCCCGAGACTAGCGCTTAGGACTGCACGTGTGCATTGGGTAGACCAACCTGAAATATGACCTTTTTTTTTTTTTAAAGCTACCTGTTTTTAAGTAAAGTAAAATTTTCCAAACAAAATAGAAATGGACGTGATTGGGAATTTTGCGTGAGGTCGAAAGATTTCCCAGTGCAGATTTCGCAACAGGTTCAAGTTGGTAACACGGATTCGACGCATTGACCAACAGAAAGCAAAGGCTATGTTCACACTATCAGTCCAAACTCAATTATTTGTTTATTTGATTGGAGTCGGACCTAAATGATTTACAGTCCACACAGTGTATCACAACTGTTTAGATCCGATGATGGATCTAGTGGCAATCTTTTGTTTTCCGGAATATCTGCACTGGGTTTTTATGACAATGGTGCGTTGGTATGTCTATGGCAAAAAAAAACAACAACAGAAAATTAAGGGTTTTACAATACAGTTGTTGTCTTAAAACCTGAAAATGTGTAGCCGCAGCGCTGGACAAATATGTGTGTGGGTTTGTTCAATGCTGCTGCCTCCGTCTGTCTCAAAATTGAAAAAAGGTGTGTAGAACAGGATTTCAAACCACATATGAACTTAGCTTCAAATGGATTTGTTAAAATTGTATTGTAATTTGATGTGATTTTTTTGCCTTTCAGACTTTCTGAATATGATCGGATTCCAATCAGATGAGCACAAAAATCGGATTTGGACAGAGCAAGGCTTCAGTGACTTATTAGCAGTGATTCATGCATTAGTACACTATTGCCATGAGAGTATGGAATAAACATACCGAGTAATGCTTATAGAACAGCCTTCATATCAGAAGTTCACTTATGATGCCTAAAAATGCTATGTAGGGGCCCCGATATACTTCAAGCTAAATTGAAGAACGAACTGGCGTGACATAATATAGAACAAAATGTTTATTTCGGTTATTTCGGAGTTTGTTTCGAAAGTTCGAAACAGCTTGCCAAAGCAAACTACGGAAAAGTTCACTGCAGCTGGTAAAAACATTCATACTACAATTGGTCTATAGATAATAAGTAGATATGCTCTGTGGCTCTTCCTTTTTCATTTCATTCCTTCTAATCAGTCCATCGAGGTCAGATGCGAGTAAAAGCATGAGCATATTGGAGAGCTTCTTTATAGTAGAAATTGAAGTTGAATATCTAAATGAACTTTTTTCATGTTTAACTCTTTCCCCGCCATTGACGGAATTTTCTGGCAATCAATGTTTTCACTTATACTGTATGGTAGGGGACGCTATTGCTTATCTTCTGAAAGAGTACAGAATATCCAGATGCAAAAACAAGCGAAAAAGAAACAGAAACAAGCGATAAAAGCTACGTAAGTCATACGTAAGCTGACACAATCATCAAACATTCAACACCCTATAAATCAAAACTGCATAAATTACTGAATGAAATGTCGACCCAGGAAGAGGTATAGGACTGTAAAGCTTTGGGGGTGTTGATAGACTCAATCTACTCGGTCTATGTTTTAATCATCCTGCTGAATCTGATTCAGATGCAGTCTTTCTCAGCTTTTTGTTCAAAATGTTGCTTTTTATTGAAACCTACCCACATTCAAGTGTTGATAAAAAATAATGCATGAAGCTATGATACATTTTTTTGTTTTTTTTTATTTAAAAGAAGAGGCTCTGTTCTTGATATATTGCATGTTCAAATATTCATACAACAAAATATTCTGGGGGCCATGAAAGTTTTGTCAAAATAATCAAAAAGTCTGGCGCTGGCTGGCAACTTTTCTTTCTTTTTTTTAACGCTGGCAGGGAAAGCATAAAGTGCTATATAAATAAACATGATGTGACTTGACTGGAGTGCCTAATTGCAGAGCTGGTGCAAACAGATCCACGTTGCTATGATCAGATGCTTTCTTAAAGGGTTAGTTCACCCAAAAATGAAAATTATGTCAGTAATTACTAGGGATGGGAATTGATAAGATTTTATCAATATCAATGCCACTATTGATTCTGCTTATCGATCCGATTCTTTAACGATTCTCTTATCGATTCCTGATAGCACTGTGTGGAAAAAAGTAGTCATGCTTTTTCGGGGGGAAAAAACAAGTGGTTTTATTTGTTTTAAAGCTTACACTTGAGTAAGCAAACTGTACTTTTTATGTAATTTATGTAATAAATGGAACCATATTGTAAAGTGTTACCGATTAGTTATACACCGATTAAACGTACCGTGAGTTCAGTGTTGAAAAGCTCAGTTGTTTTAACCATTCATTAAAACGAATCGGTTCAAATGAGTCATTAGTTTGCGAATGGACGTGTCATTATCGGACGTGTGCCGGCGGTTGGACATCCCACAAGATGTGTCATCACAGAAAACATTTCATCACTGGATAGTTTTTTTCGTTTATTTAAAGTGTGGTTTATGTCAGCTGAATGTGCGGAACGCTTTTCAGAGAAGATAAGGCAACGTATTTTAGCATAATTCACACCCAGCGGTAGCTTAATTCAGGAAAAACAAATCTCCGAATGCTCCACATGAAACTTTAGTCTCCCGACCTTACCATCATGTCGTTTATTTTGATTAATATGTGCGAGGGAGAGAGAGCAAGACAGCGCTTAGTTTTGAGACGGTGAAGCTGCCTTGCTCCGAAGAGTGCGCGCGCGCGACCGGGGCTCTCTCTCTCTCTCTGCTCGTTCAGTTAAACATGCGCCCTGTCACAAGCGCAGCAGTTCATCTACATTACTCACCGATCAAATAAGACTTTGGCGGTACAAAAATTAGCTTTGGACGCCGTGCTATGGTGCTTGATAAAGGACAAAAGGGACAGTTGTGAGTTCACGGTCTGACTCTGTAGCCTACATACTATGGCTGACTCAGAGCAGGAGCATCGATAAGAGGACTCGTTAACGTCGAGGGCATACAATATCGATGGATCGTAAAACTTAGAACCGGTTCTCGAGTGGAACCGGTTTTTAATTCCCATCCCTAGTAATTACTCACCCTCATGTTGTTCCAACCCCGTAAGACTTTTCGTTCATCTTCGGAACACGAAGTAAGATATTTTTTGATTAAATCTGAGAGCTGGATCACTCCTCCATAGGCTTCTTAAGGGATCGAAACTGGCCGGCCCAAAAGTTATGAAAGACATTCGTTAAAATAGTCCGAGTGACTACAGTGGCTCAATCTTAAGTTTATCAAGCGACGAGAATACTTTTTGTACGCAGAAAACAAACAAAAATAACGACTTTATTCAACTATTCATTTCCTTCGCTGTGGGCCTCGAGTGAGTTCACGTAGTGATATTGCGCAAAGCTTCTAGGTTGTACGTCACACGCATCACACACATGACCAGCGTCGGCCAATAGTGAGCCTGCGTGTAACGTGCAACACAGAAGCTTTGCGCAGTTTCACTACGTGAAAACTCAAGGCCAACAGCGAAGGAAATGAATAGTTGAATAAAGACGTTACTTTTGTTTGTTTTTTCCGTACAAAAAGTATTCTCGTCGCTTGATAAACTTAAGATTGAGCCACTGTAGTCACTCGGACTATTTTAACGATGTCTTACATAACTTTTGGGCCGGCCAGTTTCGATCCCTTAAGAAGCCTATGGAGGAGTGATCCAGCTCTCAGATTTAATCAAAAATATCTTAATTTGTGTTCCGAAGATAAACGAAAAGTCTTACAGGGTTGGAACAACATGAGGGTGAGTAATTACTGACAGAATTTTCATTTTTGGGTGAACTAACCCTTTAACTTCTATTTTCGCTGTCAATGCTGTCATTTTTGTTGCACGTTTAATTTGTAATTGAGACGACAGTGCTCAGCATATATTTACATATTTCACCTAAACACCGCTCCCAACAGACTGCTCGCTAACAGTAAGGAGTAAAACTTCTTTTTACTCCTAAACGAAGAAGAAACAAGAACTACGGCATGAGTATATCGGGGCCTAGGTCACTGGTGTTTGGAGGAGAGCCCACGAGTACAAAAAACACAAAAATACAAGAGGCAGAAATAAACATACAGACTACAACACCAAGCCACAGTCACCCCTACCTGTTCCTGCTCTGTGTCAAAGTCTTCGTCCTCAGCACCAATAATGTGTGCAACCGGGCGAGAGGAGGGGCTCCCCATACTCGACTGAGAATCCTAAATGAGAAACGCACAATTTTTGCACAGCTCTGAGAAACTACATTTAAAACCATGAGGTCAAGAGGTCACTCACAAGATCAGGTGTGTCTTCGGCGTCCGGTGAAGGACAGGAGTTGAGGCTGTCTCGGGGTGTGGTCTTTGGGCTGTGGCAGGGGGTCTCTCTTTGGCATGGGCTCTCCGGGACAGGACTAGGCGTGACCTGCATGGAGCAATTGAGAGCAAATGTCAATTACACAGAGGAACCACAGATCTTCATTCAAGAAATGTGGAAGGGAAGAGTAATGTGTTCGGGAGGTGTACTGACAGGGGTCGTGATATTGTTGGTCCACAATGGCTCCGTTCCAGCATCACCCTGCCAGGAAGGGGGTCGATCCAAATCTCCCCCTCCATCCTCCTGCTCTCCTTCACCTGGCCTTGGAGATATGGAGCCATCCTACAATATACACAAACTCTCATTATGATTGTAACATCATGATGTTTTGTTAGAACGTGAAGTGTAATTTCCACACCACTAATGGTACTGAATAGAATCGAACAAAATAATGACTGTAACTATAGAGAGGCTAGGCATGTTTTTTTTTTTTTTTGCCAAGTTTTCATGTAAAAAGTTCATGTAAAAGTTTGTTTAACTTATCTCAGAATAGAATCGCAAGAAAAAAAGTAAAACAAAAAAACTGAGCAAGAAATCACTGTATGTTTGTAAACACTGGCATTTCATTTGGTCTCACCAACCTTGCATAAATCATACACACACATAACGTGTCATAACCAGACACAAGTGTGGCAAAACGTGATAAAAAGTGGCTTTTTCATGTTATTCAGAGTTTTTGTCCTAACCAGTCGTGACAGCAATGCATCAAGAGACGGGATTATAGTAAAGTCAAGTCACCTTTATTTATATAGTGCTTTATACAACAGATTGTTTCAAAGCAGCTTAACAGTGATAAACAGGAACATAATGATTCTATTTTTTAATGGTTTCAATGGCGTTCCGTTACTGATGATTTGCTTTGAGATAATAAAATTACTGAAAAACCTTTTTAATATTATGTACTTTTCAATTTCACTGCGAGACAGCAGTGTGCTTGCAGAGAGACTCCGCCCTCATGCTCTTCTGATTGGCTGGGATTTGTAATTGAGTTTGCAGCATCTTGTAGCTGTGTCGCATCTGGCGTGGACAGACAAATTGATTGTCATTGTAATCTTATCGCGTCTGGTTAAGGCATGGTGTAAGACTACATCAGTGTTATTTTAGTATCATTGATGCAATGATTATATTGATATCCTAGTTTGTGTTAATAGTTTGAATTACATTTAATTTTAGTTAAAGTTTTTGTAATTTTGTTGGATGTTTTTATCATTATTATTATTTTTAAAATATGATTGTCTATATATTTTATTGTTTTAGTTTATTTGAGTCACCATGAAACCAAATTTGGCCATTTTTTGCATTAAATATTGCAGTTATAAATGATTTTTGTGTGCACATCATTATTTATTTAATTTTTAAATTCATGTGGCCTCATAAACTTTCAAAATAACTTCCCCTCCCTCTTGCAACGACATCTCTTCTCTTTTCTGTTGAAAAGTTTTTCGGTGCGAGGTCGGGACAATCTGTCACTCACATGACATCACAGCAATAGCAAACCATAACGATCAAATAATCCAATCAATTCCCTATGGACAAAATATATATATATATATATATATTTTTTTTTTTTAAGAAGCTGTTTCACTCAAATATAAATCGCAATAGGGAAGAAAAGACTACCAACTTCTGTTTCATGCCGGCTTAAAACTAAACAAAAATGAGAAATGTTGTAGCTGAAATAAAATAGGTATTTAAAAAAAAATTTAGTTAATGTTTTATTTTATTAAAAAAAATTTTTTTATGGTTTTGGTTTTAGTTTATTAACACCTACCCTGGAAAACAATAACTAAATGTTCAATTGAAGCTGAACCAGAGAATTTCAATCTCTGCTACTTGTTCCACGTGTTTTACTGATTAATAAAATGTCACGTTACTTATTTACACATTTAGGGAAAAAAAGTGATTGTGTGAATCTCATGAAGAAAAGTCTCTGTCATATTTCTCCTAACAAAAAAAAGGAAGCAAAAATGTGATTCATAATGTCCAGACACAATCATTTTTTAATATTATATTAACATCTACATATCTCTTTTTTTTTGTTGAGGTTTTAAAATCAAGAATTTCTCTGAATCAGAGGAAGGGAGCGTGTATATGAGTCTGTACCTGTCCAGTCCCAGTGGGCTTGCTGAGCTGATCCTGGTGCTGAGGAATGTGCTTCTTGGCGTCCTGGTTTTCCTTCAGTAGTTTAGGTGTAGGGTTCCTGCTGTACTCCTCCGTCATGGCCTGCAATTTATCAAACATCACAGCAGCTCTGATCATTCACACATCTCTTGTTAGAGAGGATGTGAAATTGAAGACAGACTCTGTCACAACATCACATGGTTGATAAATGCACACTTATATGTATGAGCTCAATGACAGTCCTAACCACAAATGAGTCAGTCTATAATTATAGCTTCAGTTCTGCAAATTAAGACATTACTTTCCCATGGTTCATAACCAAATGCGTGCTACACAGGTCTGCAAATATTAACAGGTTGCAGAATTGACACTGCGTGTGAAGCAACTGTGGCAGCAGCATTGCAAGTAGTCTTAATCAGCAACACAATCTTTTATAATAATAAAATACATTTCTTGAAGAAACAAAATAATAGATTAAATAAAATAATAATAATACACATCTTGTGTAGGCTTAATTTGTAGATTTTAATAGTCCACTCACAATAACCAATGTACAATACCGTTTAAAAGTAAATATTTTTGGTAACACTTTAGATTGATGGTCCACTTTAGACATTCTACTAACTATAAGTAACTCTGCAACTAAATGTCAACTAACTCTCATTAGAGTATGAATAGGCTTTGTGCTTAATATCTGCTAACACTTTATTTTGATGGTCCACCAACAGACATTCAACTAAGTAACTTTGCAACTACTTCAACTTATTCTACTAACCCAAACCTAACAGTCGACTAACAGTCTACTAATGCACACTAATGAGAGTTATATGACATGTAGATGCAAAGTTTCTTAATAAGTTAGTATTTAATAAGGACCACAAAATTAAAGTGTAACCAGATTACATTTTTTAACATTTTTAAATGTTTTTAAAAGTATAATATTATGCTCACAAAGATTGCATTTATTTGATCAAAAATACTGTGTTAAATATTATTACAATATTATTTTTTATTAAAATAACTTTTTCTAATATATTTTAAAGTGTAATTTATTTATGTGACGGCAAAGCTGAATTTAAGTGTCACATAACAGAAATCATGCTGATTTGGTGCTCAAGAAACATTTCTTATAATTATAATTGTTGAAAACAGATGTGCCATTTATCATTTTTTTGCAAACAGTGATACATTTTTTCAGTATTTGATGAATACAAAGTTGAAATAGAAATATTTTGCAACATTACAAGTTTTCAAGTCTTTTCGGTCGCTTTTGATCAATTTAAAGTGTTCTTGTTAAAAAAAAGTCAATCTGGTACCAAACTTTCAAACTGTAGTGTATCCTTTAAACGGTTATGAGGAAATACTCAATCTAGCAACCCAGAAATTATTTTTGTGTAGAGCCACAGCTCTGTTATCTGTCCGAAACACTGTCTGTATGAAAGCATGTGACTGCTGTTGTATTTTTGCTTCTGTGATGCCTCAAACACACAATGAGTTACTGTAGTAAAAGGCTTACAGTTCTATGATGGAAAAAGAACGAGGGCTGATGGAGATCAAGGCTGTTTTTCGGTGATCTGAGGACAAGACTGAGTTCTTACCCATACAGGCAGAGGGGTGGGTTTGCGCTCCGAGGGGCTGGGGGAAGAAGAGGAGCGGTCTGGACCGATGGGCCCCGGGGAGTGAGGGGAATTGAGCGAGAAGAGAGACCCCTCCTCCACCTCGCCGTCTGAGAGGGGGATCTGCGGCAGGCCTGGCGGTCTCCCCAGCACGGTTAGGGCCACATAGGAGCCCGCTGTAAACAAACACACACACAAATAGGTTATCTGTACAGAGAAACCAACAACTGCACAGTATTGTTCACTTTAAATGTGAATAACTTCAGTAAAATGATTAAAGTGAAAGCCACAGGCTACTTACATTTTATTAGCTTTACAACTTCTACATGATTTGAATGTGTAACTAATGTCCCATTGACCTGCATGAAAAAAACAAAACACAAAACTGATTAAATTCATAATGATACTCAACATTAAATGCAATATTGCCAGTTACTTTGGCTATTTCTGCAGCAGCAACAAAAATAGTGCCAAAATGCTTTTTATTTAGCTGGTTTATGAGTTTTGCACGACCAAACTACATTTCCCATTGTTCTCTGTGACAGCATGATAAATATATATATACACACAGATAAAGCATAAATTACAAACCAAACATCACGTCATTTAGATACACCAATGGTCCACTAAAGCTTCCTGTCTTTGTTGGGTAGTGGAAATGAGAAGAAATATAAAAAAAGGCCCAATGTGACCATTTTATTCTGACAGAACTGATGTGAAGGTACACAACTGTTCAAAAGTTAGATTTTTTTAAACAAATAATATTTTTAATCCGCATTAAATTGATCAAAAGTGACAGTAAAGTCATTTATAATGTAACGAAAGATTTCAGAAAAATGATTCACAATTTAAAAACACAACTGTTTTCATCATGGATAATAATAAGAAGACTTTCTTGAACCAAATCAGCATATTAGAATGATTTCTGAAGGATCATGTGACACTGAAGACTGGAGTAATAATGCTGAAAACTCATCTTTGTCATCACATGAATAAATTACATTTTAAAATATGTTCAAACAGTTATATTAATTTGTAATAGTATTTTACAATAACACTGTTTTTACTATATTTTTGATCAAATAAATGCAGCCTTGGAGAGCACAAGAGACTACTTCACTTACTGAGCCCAGTCACATCATAATTATGACATATTAAGATTTCCAAACTCTTAAGTATGACCAGAGAAATATACACATCTATTTATCTTTATTCCGCCAGCAGGAGGCAGAACACGGCACCTGAGGCATCTTGCCGACATCAGGTGAGCCTGTCTGGAGAGCTTTTTTGCATCATAACCTCAGGGCTTAAAGACACAAGCCCAAATAACAGTTTCTGGGGTTGGTCATACAGACTACGCTCATTTTTAACTGAATCTCAAGAAGTTATATTAATAAATCTGAACTTCATCCAAGTGAAGCCCCTGATTGGTCATCACCTTTATGATCCGGTCGCCTGTCTGAACACCAGCTCGCATGGCAGCTCCATCTACGTGCAAAAGAAGAGAAAGAGAGCTCATGCGGTCTGCTGGAATGAAAAATATTACAAAGTTCCTTGATCTGAAACCATCATTGTGCCATGATACGGCCACAGTCCAGTGTAAGGACGATCACAAGTAGCTTGAATACACATTTTCACTGCCTTACTCTAGTTACTGGTAAAAGCAACTATGTATTTAGCACTGTCAGTGTTGTAATTATACCGTACTGTGGTGTTACACAACTGGATAATTATCTAAGGCTGGATAGTTAAAAGAGACAAGTGTGTGTTTAAGTCACTTGTGAAACTGCTCTGCATGTGCATGTTATGGAGGGCAAAACAAGGACAATGAACAACACGGTTTGTGTCTTTCTTACCCTCTTTTACAAGCTGTACAAACACAGGGTTATCGCCGCTCACTGTCAGCCCAAAGCCATTCTCATCTTTCTGGATGATGACACAACGCTGCACAAGCCCTAAGAGACAAACAGACAGAAAGATAGGGGGATAAAGAAATGGAAAGATATGGAGGGTGCAGGAGAAAGGATGAGGACTTGGTAAATAGCACTCAAGGAGCTGGATAAAGAAGAGTGTGTTATTCCTGGTCACATACAGTATAGTGGTTGTGTGTATGTAAAACCAGCCCAAACGGTTGAGAGACTGAAGGTGAACGCACCGAAAATGATTTCTTAAAAGGCCTTGAGCATGCCAGATGCACTCAGTCATAAAAGAGCTTTAGAAACGACATAAACAACAAAAACCAGTTTCTTTTCTGGCATGCCAGTGACTTTATAGGGAGTCTATGTGAGAAAATGACTTGTAAACTCAAACACACTACTGTTCAAAAGTTTGGAATCAGTACCTTTTTTTCATTATTATTAAAGGAATTCTTTAATTCAGCAATTATGCATTAATTTGATCAAAAGTGACAAGACATTTATATTGTTATATAAACAACATATATATACCCCCCCCCCCCCCCCCCTGTTCTTTCCATTCATCAAAGAATACCCAAAAAAGTATAATGGTTTCCAAAAGAAACAGAATAACTGTGTTCAATGTTTCTTGAGCACCAAATCAGCATATTACAATTGCATTTTAAAATCTATTAAAGTTTTTTAAACTGTAATACTATTTCACAATATTACTGTTTCACAAAGAAATGCAGCCTTTGTGAGCATAAGAGACTTTTTAAAAACATTGTACTGACCCCAAACTTTTGAACAGTATGTGTGAATGTGGAAAATATGCTCAAGGAGAAATAGGAAAGATTTAAGATATCAAAGTCAAGATGAAACAGAGTCTGCAACCCATTTTACTTTTGTATTCAGAAGTATTTCCAAGAAAAACAACATATTCAACAAGGAAAAAAGTCATTATTTTCAATTAATAGAGTATATCAGAAGGGTTAATGGTGTTAGAGTAGGAGAAAGTTATTGCATTACGATGAAAGATTACAAAGAAATTGTCTTAAGAATGTGCACTGATAAATCGCAATTTACATTAAGATCAGGAAGGTATATTAATAAAGTAAATGGGGTCAATTTTGATTGCAAACTAGCATAACATTACAATACTATGAAAATTATTTACTGTATTATATACTTTTTGTACAGATCATAAATTAAGACCCTGCAATCAGTTAATCATATTTGTGCAAACATATTCAGAAAAGAATAAATCCCTCAACTATCAGCACTGACGTCTTAAGAAAAAGATTAAAAATGCAAGTTTATAATAATGAAATATACTATAAGCACTTACAAATAAATAAATCATAATACAGCAGAAGAGAGTTGTGAACATACAAAACACTTGTGTACCAACTACACAAATTAATATTTATTCAGCCCAGATAATAGCCTATATTTTGTTTTTTGTTTAAATTTGAATATTTCAGTGTGTAAGCATATTGTTATTCCAGATCTGCCAATGCAAATGTATAGTACAGAAACTACAGAATGATTTATGCCTTAGCTGACTGGTGTCTTTTAACAGTTTTTACATGGCCGTTGCTTTTGTGAAGAGTGGAAGTGTAAAAAAACCCCCCAAAAAACACGTCAGATAACAAGTATCTCACCAGACTGCATCAGTCTGCAATGTGTTTACATGAAGCGTTTGGTGTAGCTCATAAGCCATTCATGTGTGATGTCTACAAAGCGGATTTCTACATTTGTGCTGCTAACATAAAAACACGCATGCACTCGCAAACACTCGGGCTGAGTGTAGCCATTATATTGGACTTGATAAACCCATGCACTCCAAATTTGTAACAACCACACTCAATAAAACAGGACTAGACGACCTGCCATTGGAATTGTATTGCTTTATGGATGTGACATCTGTCCTAGATGCGTCTTTTCAATTGTATCCTAAATTTTGACAAAAAAGTAAACTTATTTTTGCATGACAACATTCGCACAGGTTTTATGCGCAAAAATAATGTTTGTATGCGTGGTTAGTGGACGAGACCTCCATATGAGAAAACTAGTACTGGTAAGTTGATTGTCAAAATACTGTGAAAATGATGTGCTTATTTTAAATTCAATTCTTAATGAACAACTTGAGCTGGGTGCACTTGGTCAACTAACCACAAAGAATTGGCTAAATAAAATGTTTCAAGCATCTGTTCATTCATTCTGTTCACTTAGATCAAACAGATGGCTGTAAAGTAAGATTAAAAGAAAACTAAAGGCATGAACTCACTATATAATAGATAAATAAAACAGCCAACTTGTAACAGAGAGAGACTGTTGCAAAAAGGCTAAGGCGTTTGAGGAAAAGCCACAGCACGTTACCACAATAATGCAAAAGGACCAAGATTGTTGACAATTAAACAGGTCTTTGAGTAAATCCAATTCCACCAATTTATAGCCCGACACCAAGACATGCTAAAGGATTGGTGCAGGTTGAGTCTGAAAGGCCGGCGGGCATAAAAGGGAAAGAATGAGGCTCACACACACACACACACACACAAACCACAGCAAAACTCCAGAGCAGCGGCAGTGACCCATTGACTCTTACCGCAAGACTCTGGCCTTCCGTCGGCTACTACACTCTGAACAGGCAGTTCTGACAGCAGAAAACATGCGGCACACACACACACAAACAGCAGAAAACAGCAAGAGAAATAATACGATTATGCAACAAAAATCTTGTTAAAAAGAGACAAAGTAACTGATATGTAAGTTTTGTATGGAGGAAATCTGTGAGCCGAATTGATCACATTTGATTTTTTAAACTACAAGTAAGGGGAAAAGGGTTAAAAAAAAACACATTAATACAAAAAGCACATTTTTTAAAATAAAATTTGTATAATAAACAAGAATAATAAAACAAGAATAAATCAAAAATTTTCTTATTCCAAGTATCACTTCAGATTTTTTAAAAAGTCACACTTTTACCAGATTTGAGACGGTTTATCCAAAAAATATTATTTCAGATAAATGCTGAACTTCATTCATCAAATATTCCTGAGGGGAAAAAAACCCCAGTCACAACTGTTTTCAACATTGTTAACAATATATGTTCCTTATTTAGCATATTAGAATGGCTTCTGAAGAAGCCCCAAACTTTTAAAGGGTAGTGTATTAATTATTTTGTCTTAACACAATCCATATTTCCATCAGGACATTTTGAGTTGGTTGTAGATAAAAAAAATTTAAGGTGTCTTTGATACAGTGTACCTTCACCAATTTTTAACCCGCTTTGTATGGTTACAATGTCATAGTATATGTAAATTAACAATGTTTACTCATTCTCCATGTTACGTGGACTGAGAAATTCACATTTTCACAGCTCCAGGGCTTTTGTGAAAACTACAGATTATACATCCGCATTTTTGTATCCCCGTCCACGGACAGTCGAATCGACAGAGGGTTATTAACAGAAAATATTATTGTAAGGGTAGGTTTATCACTGAAAACAGTATCGTACTATGTTTACTCTTTAAACAACATTATGGTAAAAACGGAACACTATGGAACAGCTTTCTTTCTTATACAGGACGATGTTTTGCTTAGGGTGGTTGTCCGGAACTGACAGTTTTCCCTTCAGTTTGGCCTAAAACTGTTTGTGGTAATCCAGTTTGAAATGTTGACTGAGTTTGAAATTTTCATTTTGAAAGCATTGCGTTCTCTAAATATTTACGATTCTTTGCAGCCTTTAGCAACTGAATACAATGTGCTAGATCCTTCACTGGAAACGGAAAGTAACTCACTCCCTCTAAACGTCAGCACCATTATGACTAAATGTTTGCTAAGAAGTATTTCTAACCAAGGCAGTATTTGAGGCAGTAAGCGTATCCATAGCAGACTGGTGAGAGTGGCCTTGGACAACAACAAGCCCAGTGCATTATGGGTGTTGAAGTTTTCCTACCTATTTGGCAAATGGGAAGACAGCAGCCTTTTCTTACGGTTTTCTCTATCAGGTATCACCGATTTAAACAAAAAAAATGTCGCCTTTCTACTGTATAGGCAGCCAAGTTTTATTGAAAGCTCATTTTGCCAGTGGTGAAGTACCCCTTTAAGTACTGAGTAATATTAAATAACAACATTTACTGTAGGGTTAAGAATAGGGTTTGGTTTAGGGTTAGTTAATTATGCATAATTTACTATTATTACTACAGTTAGAACATGTATAACAAGAAAGAACACTAAGTGTTACCTAAATTTTAATCTAAATTTAGAAAAAAACAAAACAATGTAAACTTATTGAAGGTTTAATGCACAAAAATAAAGGTGTAGGTTAAATAAAGGTTGTCAAACAGTCAGTTTATCCATGACCAACAGACACTGCTTCCCTTTCCTCCCGAATCATTTATAAAACGATGACTCATACCCATCTCAGACACACCCTGTATATCCTCCTTGATGACTCAGCTAGATCCCTTACTAAAATAAACTGTCATCATGAAATGAGATTTCCCTCTCCGATGGCCGCACAGCTGTGCGTCTCTGCAGCAGGAAGAGCGAGAGGGATTACAGGCCTGTGACAACATCCGGAACTTGTGATGAGATGGGCCTCCTAGTACATAATGGCATAACCAGGCTGCTAAAACGATATCAAGTCCAAAGCTCTGGGAATGAAAGAGTTAAACTTCCATGCTGCATGGCAACATGGCCTCTGATGTGCTTGATTTGATCACTTCAGTCATGTCTAGTTAATCCCAAGAAAGATTATAAATGAGTCAGGACTTCAAATCCAGGTTTAAAACACAGATGTGTGAGGAGTGGAGTAGAGAAAAGTATACAAGAACAAATTTTCACTGGTACCTGACGTTAATAAATAAATTATACATGCCCACGGATCTCTTCCCATCGAGTGTGAACATGCGCATTTTGCATTTGTCCAATAAGTCATTTTTTTATTGCTCACTTTTGGTTCATGTGTCTGGAACCAGCATTTGATATTGCTGTATGCTGAGTAAAAGTAACATTTAACGCCATAAGGGTAAACTGAGAGAAAAGTAGTAGTGAAATGACAACTAACTGTTTAAAATAAATAAGAATGTTTAAAATAGTTAAGTCAAAAATGAAAAGTGTGTCTCATTTGCACTTACACATTTAAATTTCACATATTTCTGATTTCAAACCTGCAATAGATTTGAAAGGTTTGTGGATCTGTGGTGAAGGAGAAGATTTTTTGTGAATTTAAATGTTAGTCCTCCTTACACAAAGCTATCGTATGAGAGCAGGTTCTTTTTGTAATTTTTTTTTTAGGCTTGACAGCCTCAGTTCTCATTCATTTTCACTGTATGGAGAAGTGCTGTGTAAACATTTGGCCATTGGGGACCACCCCAGTCAAAATAAAACTACACTGCAACCCCACCACACACATAATTTGAGAAAAGTGTCAATTATATAATGATGGTAAAAATGTCAGTTTTCAAGAAGGGTATTTGTTAAAAATGTCATGTTGGCCAAAACTGACACAACTGGGTCGAGTTCCATATGCATTTAAAATGTTAGAATTTTTAGCAAATATTTAAATGTTACCTTTTATATGTTTCCAGTGTCATTTTTTCATTGTTATATTTCATTTATACACCAGAGTTGAAAAGTTTGGGGTCGGTAAGGCTTTTTAATGTTTTTGAAAGTCTCTCATTATGGCTGCATTTCATTTGATACAGTAAAAACAGTAATATTGTGAAACTTTTTTTTCAATTTAAAATCGCTGTTTTCTATTTCAATACGTTTTCAAATGTTATTTACTCCTGTGATGAAAAATGCTGAATTTTCAGCAGCCGATAGGGGCCATTCACGCAGAACGCATTTGTGTGGTTAAAAAAACGCAACATATAGAGACGCATTTTTTAAAAGTTGAACTTGAGCACCACGTTTTTAGAAAGCTGTCAAGCACAAGACCTGCAAAAGTTGCGAGACGTGAGCGGAACGGCCAATGGTTAAACAGGTCTGTCTAGCGCATTTACATCGACAAACAATGGAAAAGTAGTGCAGTGGAATAGAAGAACCCCTTACTCCAGTCTTCTGTGTCACATGATCCTTCAGAAATCTTTCTAATATCATAGCTTCAGGTTGATCTTTGAGAGCAGTGGCACCGGTGACACAAAGTTCTACATATAGTGGCAACAGTACCTGATTTGCTAGCATTGCACATGTAACATTAATACTAATTTAATAATTTTGTCTCTTTGAAATCCACATTTGACAGTAGCTTAAGTTGACAGTAGCATGAGTTGAGATGTGGATATAAATGTAATTTTATTTAAAAAACACATACCTGCTAACATTTTCTTACTGTAACAATGGTAACAACCTCATTTTTATACAGTAAAATTTTAATATTCTGACTGTTTGAGTTAAGACTAAAATTGGCAATTGGTCTGTGGTATTTGTTATGAAAAATCTAAATACAACTGCACAAAAACGATAAAATACTGTAATTATGTTCCACTACTCCTTTAATACATTAAATACATGTCTGCATTAATATAATACATTCTATATGAATATCCCACCTTTCTGCCACAACACCACAGTTACAGTTAGTGTACACTAAATCCATGGTAAATGTTGGAGATTTGTGGATCGAAAAGCTTTCTAACTGGATCACTGTGGCACAATATTTATCCTGTTCTTCACAGCAGTTTTGTTGAGAAAGTTAGCACTGTTTTATCAAACTATTTTAAAATCCAGAGACATTTGTGCTTTGTATCGAAAAACTCTGAATTCGAACGGTCTCACTGGATCTTCTCGCTGTCTTTTGGGCCGAGCTGTTCAATGGTCCGCTTGGCGCAGTTCAAATGAGTAGTGCCGTTTCTTCCGCTTTTGGTGCATTTGTCATCGAATGTTATGTGAGCAAAAGAATAGCAGCGCTTACCAGTTAGGCAAATTGGTAGTGGCATCAGTGTGACCTCTAACAAAATTCAGTCGCATCAACAGTAAAAAAGTTCGCAAAATACGAGCATTTAGACGCAGTCTAGAGCCCTGAACATGCTGAATTGGTCCTCAATAAACATTTCTTATGACTATCAATGTTAAAAACATTTACTGTTTAATGTTTTTTAACTGTGATACATTTTTCAGAATAGAAACAGCATTTATATTAAAAATCGTACAGACCCTAAACTTTTGAACGGTAGTGTATGTTGCAGATAAGCCAATAATATAATGTTTAATGACAGGTTTTATTGTTTATGGGTAAACTATCCCTTTAAGTGTTCCACTGAGTCACATTACTCAGCGGTGGCCAAAAGTCAAAGTCAGTGTTAAACCTTTAAACAAGGTGCTACTCCAGCATTTAAATGATGATTGAGGTCCATGTGGTCCCTCTGATGTCACAGCTTGACATGTTCCTGCTGTAATTATCTTTACACAGACTGAGGCAGTCCAGCAGCACAAGTTGGGTCTGCATTCAATCTCTCAAACAATAAATCTACAGACATGCAAGTTCACTGCTCTTTAGAGCAATGTGCACTATATCTGCACAATATCCCAGCTGTCACAACCCAGATATATGCATTTCATTATAAATAACCTGATTAACTTCGTCAGTTACTTTTAGCTTTCAAACAAAATAACTTGAAAACACTGAAACCTCTTGTTTTGCACCAGAAAATATATTCTTGAAATGAAGAAAGTGAGACAGTTATGCATTATTTAGATGTCTTTCAAGAGGAGGCAAACAGACGGGTTCTTACCTGTGGGGTCAAACTCATGCGAGGGGGGGACTGACGCCTTGTCGCTTTTGGGCTTTTTGTCTGGGGGATGGTCCTTGCTGAGAATACTTCCTGTCCTGTGCGCGCACACACACACACACACACACAAAACGGGGAAAAGGGTCACCATCACCGCCACATCATGCTATTCTTATCCAGCAGCACACAAAAACTAGACAGGAAATTTGGATCCACTTACAAAAGGTCACACTCATGCCCCATGTCCAAAAACAGGCCCAGAGAGAGCAGACAAAACATTTCTGACCAGCACAATGCAAACTACTGTTCACTGTGAATTCACCAATTACAAAAGAGCCATCATGTTGAAGGGTCAGGATGGTTGCGTAGTCCTCCATTAAGGGAATTCTGAGTTTGGCTTTAATATGGTACTTTAAAGGGGATACATTTATAGATGGCACTTCCCAGAGTGGGTTTTAGCATATTGTCCTGATAAATTGAGAAAATTAATTTGTACTTTGCATTTATTTTAATTAAAAACTATTTTTTTGTCTTTATGACTGCAATTATTTAGCCGTTTTGCACACAGACAGCAAAGCTCATCGTATTCCATATAAGTCTCCATCTTTCCACCGGTCACAAAAAAATTAAAGACACATTGCGATTTTCTTCCTCTTATTTTTGTTTTGATGCTACTTTGATTTTAATTTAATTATCACGTGCTCCTGAAGATCGTAATTAGTTGGTTTAGTTGTGTTTGATCAGGGCTGGAGCTGAACCTTGCAGGAAGGTAAATCTTCAAAAAATGACGTCGATTTTTTTGCGTTCTCTCGCACATGTTTTGCGCTCAAACTAGAAACTTTGCATTCACTCACCAAAATGTTTGCATTCCCCCCAGAAACCTTTGAGTTCTTTGCGAGTGAACGCAAAGTTTCTCGGGGGAACGCAAACGTTTTGCGAGAAAACGCAAAAGCATTTAAAAAATATATTTGTTCCTCCCCATTCCATATTTTTTCCGCCACAAAGTCCCATATTCATTAAAACGTTCGGGGTCAGTAAGTTTTTTTTTAAAGAAATGAATAGTTTTATTCAACAAGAAGAACACATGAATCTAAAGTTTATAATGTTACAGACTTCTATTTCAATGCTGCTCTTTTGAACTTTCTATACATCAAAGAAATTGCAAAAAAAAAAAACTTTTAAAAATATGTAATAATATTACTGTTTTACTGTATTGTTGAACAAATAAATGCAGCCCTGGTGAGCATAAGAGACTTCTTTTAAAAACATTTAAAAAATCGTAACGTCCCCAAACTTTCTTCAAAACTAATTCAAAAGGGGGGGGGATTCTTAGATACAAATTATGAAAAATTTTCCTCAAAAAAAACAACAACTTTGGTTGAAGACGATCAGGGGCCAGTTGCATAAACGTAGGCACTATAGTGATTTAAAATAAAAATAAAGGTTCTTTATTAGCATTGGTGGTTCCATGAAAAAACGTTATAATTCTCAGAACCTTTCCATTGCACAAAAGGTTCTTTACAGTGGAAAAAGGTTCTTCAGATAATTAAAATGCTCTTTACATGAAGAAAAAAAATTGTTATTTTATGACCTGTTGACTGAAAGATTGTTTGGGGAACCAAAAAAAAAAAGTTATTCTATATCATTGCTTTAACAATTCTCTTTTGGAAAGAGTGTATGTTAAGACTTTCTTAAAGGGATAGTTCAGTCAAAAATGAAAATTCTGTCATCATTTCCTCACCCTCATGTTGTTCCAAACCTGTATAAGTTTCTTTCTTCTGTTGAACAAAAAAGAAGATATTTAGAAAAATGTAGATAACCAGACAGTTGACGTAAGCCATTGACTTCCATAGTATTTCCCCTTTCGGTAACACTTTACTTGAAGGGGTGTGCATAAGACTAACATGACACCTTCATAATCATGACATGACACATGTTATGAATATGAAGGAAGTTTTATGCATGTTTGTGACAACTGTCATTAAGTGTCATTCGCTCAATTATGACATTTTTAATGCAAATATGAAATTGTTTGAGATGTCTTTGTTATGACACCTTGACATAAACCAATACATCATAACCTGTCAGTGTCTTTGTCATGACAACTTGACATTACTAAGACAACACAACCTGTCATAAACATGACATAGCAGATTAATTATCAAACTTAAGAAACCACTTAGCTTTATTGGTTAACATTACATTATACTGTCAGGTGGTTGGTTTTGACATTGGCTGTCATGAAGCCATTATAACTGTTTAATGACAAATTCAATTTGTACCACTGTAGTTGAGGTCACGAAAAATATTCATAACACAGTTAAAATGGCCTTATGACAGCCAATGTCAAAACCAACCACATGACAGTTTAACTTAATTTAATGTCAAGTTGTCATGACAAAGACACTGACAGGTTATGATGTTATGGTTTATGTCAAGGTGTCATAACAAAGACATCTTAAACAATGTCATATTTGCATTCAAAATGTCATTATTGAGCGAAAGACACTTAATGACAGTTGTCATAAACATGCATAAACCCAACTTCATTTTCATGACATATGTCATGTCATGGTTATGAAGGTGTCATGTCAGTCTTATGTACACCCCTTCAAGTAAAGTGTTACCCTTCTGGTCTACTCGAAATGGAAGTCAATGGATGCCGTCAACTGTCTGGTTATCGAAATTTTTCAAAATATCTTCTTTTGTGTTCAACAGAAGAAACTCAAACAGGTTAGGAACAACATGAGGGTGAAGGAATGACAAAATGTAAATTTTTGCTTGAACTATCCCTTTAAGAACTAGTTTGGCCAACTAGCAGTTAACAAAGAGGTAATCCGTCGTACTTTTCTAATTCAAATTGGACCGATCTACCTTTTTAAGTAGCTGACTTTAAAAACTTAGGACCAGCCTTAAAGAAAAAATCTAGATTACTAATTTTTAAGACTAGTCTAAGCAGTTTATGCAACCGGCCACAGATTCTGATTCTTGATTTTAAATATGTTGTAATTCCTAGAAGTTGGTGAGTTTTGCAATTTTTTAATTTGCATTTGATGAGTGTACGCTTTGGATCCTGCTCGCAAGCAAATAAGCAAGCTAAAATGTTCATTGTTAGTTCATGTTGCATTAACTAATGTTAACAAATGAGATCACCTGAAAGTGTTACCGCCTGAGTTAATGCTGTGAATCTGAGCGTTTTATTTCCATACTGTGTCACTGTGTTCATATCAACAGCAGCATCAGTGTTGTGTCTACCCTCAACCTGCCCATATCGCTGTCTGCAGAAAACCGGCATTAGCTGTCTGTCTGGCTGCCGTGCTTCTCTCTGGGACTATGAGGGCGTTTCACTAGGAAAGAGCAACAGGAAGGAGGAACAGGCACTCACCTGCTCGCTTTTTTGGGAAACCTGGAAGACAAAGAACGTATATTTAAAAAAAAAAAAAGGCTAATAGAAATTTGACAATAGCAATTTGTTTTTCAAAAGTGGTACAACTACCATTCCAAAGGTCGTTGAGATTTTTTTAATGTCAGTAAGATCGGTTAGACTTTTTATAATGAAAGAAAAGTCTTCAAGGCTGAATTTATTTAATCAAAAATACAGTAAAAACAGTAAAATTGTTAAATATTATTACAGTTTAAAATAACGGTTTTCCATTTTAATATATTTAGCATCATTACTCCAGTCTTCAGTGTCATGATCCTTCAGAAATCATTATAATATACTGCTTTAGCGAAACATTTCTTATTATTATCAATGTTGAAAACAGTTGTGCTGTCATTTTTTTTCAGGATTTTATAGATGAATTAGAAAATATAAATTTGAAATAGAAATCTTTTGTGACAATGTGAATGTATTCGTCACTTTTGATCAATTGAATGCATCATTGCTGAACACAAGAAAAAGAAAAATCTTACTGACCCCAAACTTTTAAAAGGTAGTGTACATGTGTGATCTAAACATTAACATTATTTTAGGATAACATTCAACACAAAATTACTAATTTCTAAAGATGTCAAAAGAGCCCACCACCCAAATCTCTACAATATTTATACACACGTTAATATAAAAGTTAATTTTAAACAATTAATTTACTAAAGAATTAGTTAAAGAAATAGCTAAATTATATTATGCAATCACCTACTGCACATACCTCCCTTCTATGACACACCCTCTCATGATGCTATGTATATATAGGTCATTTTATTAATATATTATAAATGATAAAGTAAAAGTAAGAGGTGAACAAAATAACCATCTACATCATGGTGTGTGACAGTTAAATTATGGAAAGTGTATATAACAATCTAGCTATTCCTGCAGGAAATTCAACCCAGAAATCTTTTATATAGGCCTACTACATAACCAATTACTATTTACTGATATTCTAGTGAGTTATAATCTAGTAGCACAGATAAACAGTCCAGTGGAATCTCTACTGGTTGACACCGCCTCAGCAAACACCACTAATGACCGTTTCCAGACATATCCAAACAAGCCCATAGAGGCCATGCATTATTATTTTTCTTGTTTTCTAGGGGGATCATTATTACATCATTATTTTTGCAGTTCTGTCTCAATTTCTCTCATTTATGTCACCGTTATGTTGTAACTGCCTATATACTGCGTGCACTGCTATTGGTGGTGTTGCATAATGAATTTATGTTTGACTTTCCATCACCCTAAACTTTCCCCTGCCGGTTGTGCAGCCCATAATCTGTTTGGTGTGTCTTGCATATTGGCTTCATGTACTGTACAATGATCAGATTCAGCTGTAAGTATTCCCTTCGGTTCCCACACTTTAGTCTGCTATGAGAAAGCACAAGACTGAAGGCTCATCCTCTAAATAATAAAGGATACAGACTGTAAATGCTAAACAGCTAAAAGTACCCTTTGTGCTCATTAGCTTCAGCACACTGGTCATTCTAGAACCAAGTAGTCAATTCGTGAGATTGACTTGTTTAAGGGTTTACAAACTTTATGATACCAAGGACCTCCAAATAAAATGATCAGCTGTCAACTGAGGGATGGAGTGGAAAATAAATAAATAACTGGCTTTCATTATTGTTATTGCACTAAAGCCAAAGCTAATTATTAAAATATTATAATTATTAAATAGTATGTGTGTGTGTGCGCACGTATACAGTTCTGCAAACATACATATATACACACATATATATATATATATATATATATATGAGGCTCTCTCAAGAGAATAAAATAATTGTTATTCATCTAATGATTTATAACCAGTATTTAGAAAGCAGCATGAAAGAGTAATAATATCAAATGTGGTAAATGTGATAACTTAAGATGTTAACTAAATGTTAAATGCAATATAATAGCATTAACTTTGATATAGGTCTGCTCAATTTGGGGAAATATTCTAATTACAATTTTTTTTCGAATTACTTTTTTTGTTTGTCTTTTTTAAAAGCTCCAAGTTTACTGGGTTTTTTTTTTTTTTGCAGAGCTGCACAAACTGGTCGAAAATGTTGTCTCCAGCAAAAAAACACCAATGCATACCCTTTGAAGCACCGCTACAACCATACACATTCAGACAGAATGGTTGCCTCATCACATCTTGCACTTTTTTTTTTAACGTCCCACCACGAGCGTTGATTTAAGGCGTCATGTAAAGGTAAAAACGTGTCTGTTGTTAAGTAAATGGTCTTAAGTAAATGCCCCCTAATGTATCCAAACAAATATAAAGTCTCATTCAAGAACAATTCATTGACTAGTTGATTTCAAAAGTATGTAGTTTTGTACTTCAATTCAAAAAGCAGCCTGAACATGTTAAGCTGGTGTGACCTGGTTTTTCCAGCAGGGATTTCTGCCCTTGACCACAGAGCGGAAAAGACATTGGTGTTGTGTACAGTAAGGCTTTCATCTAACACAAGTATGCATGTTTCCACGGACATCAGATCCTCCATTCTCATGAGTCACATGTATTTTTGAATTTGTGCGTCATCCTTTAACATGGCAGAGTACTGAGATAGATCATAGAGATAAACTCTCCAGCCGAACACGCAAGAGCCGCCGTATCTCATCGGCGAGCGGACCTCTCTTTGGGAAGGAGCCTCTTTACAGAAATAGCTCAGACATCTTGTCCTCCCTCCCTCTCAGCTCCTTCCGCGGGTGTTTTTTGTTTTTGCTGCTGTTCCTTCCCCTCCACAATGGAGCTCCGCACGGGAACAATAGCCTTCACGTCAGAGCCGGCCCACTACACAGCAGCCCTGTGGGCCTGATTCCCGGAAACAGAAAGGGCTTCTGGCAGGGTCCCCTGTTTCCTGAATGTGTGAATGAGGGAGAGAGGGGGAAGGGGGCGTTTGGGGTGGCTAAGAGTGAAGGCAGGGGGCAGGACTGGGCCAAAATAAAAATTTCTCAGGGCTTTGCTCCCTCACGCTTCCTACTTCTCCCTCTTTTCCAAGGCACAGCGCTCTCTTTCTCTGGAAAACTGTCTTTAAGCTTTCAGTGGTCAGAAAACAAAAATCGCAGCTTAAAAATCCTCAAGCGCTGCCGATCCAGGCCAGAACAATCAAAGCGGAGATAAACCGAGGACATCAATCCTCAAGGAAATAAAGGAGAGGTTTTTTTTTTTCCCTAATGCAAAGTGAAATTGAAAAAAATATGGACTCGAGAGAAAAGAGTTTCGAAAATCTGATTCACTCTGGCCTTTTTTTTTTTAAAGAGGGGAAAAACTGTAATTATCTTGTGAGCTTTTGTGGAAACAGGAAAAGCCTCATAATCCAGTTCACAAGAGATTAGAGAGAGGAAAAGAGAGAATTAATGTCATGGTACTTTGGTTACTTTTCTTACAGAGCTGTCGGAGTGATTCAGACTGAAGCACAAACCGAATCAAACCAACTGATTTGTTAACCTGTTTCACTGTTTCGTTATAAAAGAACCGATTCGAAAAGTGATTCATTCGTGTTTGGGCATTGCTGGTTCTGAATCTAAACATTTATAAGAAAAATAAGACATGATTAATGAAAAATGGTTGACTTGGTAATCTCTTTCAGTAATTTTTTTTACTTGCACTCCAGCAAAAAAAAACTCTACGATATGACAAAATACTATTAAGAATGATATTTGTTGGTATCGACAAACAACAGACTCGACAGCAGGGCTGAGTTCACAGAAGAGATTTCTACAGAGCCATGAATGTCACAGGTCTGTGTGCAGAAGCTGACATCACAGAGACAAATGTCATAATAGATACCAATTGTCATTGACATAATAGTCAATGATAATTATCAGTGAATAACAAATTAAATTTGGTCTTTTCCTCACTCAAAGTTATCAAATCACTTAAAGAAGCGATGTAACGGAAGTAGCGACAAATTATTTCTTAGATATGTTAACATACAATTCACCAGTTGTTGATTGGATGGAGGCAGATCTAAATGAGAGTTTGAAGACGATTGTAAGAAAGGTTCATGATAAGAATTGGAGAAGTCCGGCATACGTCGCCAGGGAGAAGTCTGTCATTTCACCGGAAAAACAAAAAAGGAAACATTACTATCAGTTCATGCATTCGAACCCATGAACTTGGTGTGGATAGTGCCATTGTTTGAACAACTGGAATGCAGAACACATGAAAGGATGAATTGTTCGCAATAAGATCATAAATATGCATTTAGGAAATAGGGTCAGTTTCCATTTCGTGCCAACTTTAAGTTCTGGAATATACAGCCCAACTATTTTAATGGTGCTTTTTTTCTATCTGTTTTTGGAAGGCAGTCAACTGAGTATATGGAAAAGAGCAGCTTGGACATTCTGGAAAGTTGTTTGAAACAACACAAGTGTCAATAAATGATGACAAAGTACAAACTATACCTGTTACAGTGTTCAGTGCAAGTTACGGTAACGCTTCCTTTTACAGTCCTGTTCCCCATGTACTTACTATGTACTTATTATAGTAATTATAATTACTGGGTAATAACTAGGTACTAACCCTGAACCTACCCCTAAACCAACCCCTAACCCATGTACTTACATTATATTAGCCAGTACTCTAGGTAAGTACACTAAGTACACGCAAGTACTGTACTGTAAAAGGAAGCGTTACCCAAGTTACTCCTGTCATAAAACCATTTCAGATTAACTAAAACTACGGAACTACATGGATTTGATCAAAACATCAATCAATTCAACTATCACTGATGTCATTTCAGTCAAACAAGAGACGGTTCCCAGGCCACGTCTCTCAAAGACAACATTAGCATGCTGATTTACAAGCAGCAGCGTTAATGACTCTACAATAGCCGCAGATCTGTAATATGATGCCATTGTAACAGAGGGAATAATGATTACGCTAAGCTGCTCAGAGAACATTTAGCACCTCATTTTTCCTGGATTTGATGGCCAACAGCAGCCTGGATTAAAGAGCCATTTGTGGGTTTTTG